GCGACAAACGGGCTGAAAAAATTGGGATAGCGGGGAAAATTTTTCCCAGTAATCCGGTACGGTCCTGTAACCAGATATCAACGATTTATGTTGTATTTTACATAGTTTTCGGACAGGAAAAGTTTCTGAAAAATCGTAAAAATTCACAAAAATTGTTCATTTTCGTCAAAAATGCATGAAAATTGTGGCAAAGATGTCAATTTTCGATTTTCAAAATTTTTAGAGCACTTAGGAACGAAAACAGGCTAAAAAAGACTACAAAAATACATTACAACAAAAAGTGGTTCCCCCTCTAACAGCCCAGTAAGAAAAATTATAATTGTAGGAGTCTGATAATTCACCCATATTTTCCTTCACATCAGGCCATTATTCTTCCGCTCTCACCTCGGCGATGGCGATCAAAAAGTCGTGTGCGTGCTTGTAGACGGGGCTGAACGACTCGAGGAAGATGTGGCCGTCCGGCGAGACCCAGAGAGGCCGCGACGCGTGATCGTCCTTCAGCGGCATCTCCTTCCTGAAGCATCTTTAAAACCAAATAGAATTGCTTAGAACCTGTAATCCTTGCCGCCAAACTCGTTGAGCGAGCCGAAGGCGTTGTCGAGCTTCTGGGAGGCGGCGGCGGGGACTGAAAAGGTGCCGATTTTTCAGGGGGTGCCAGTAACGAACCGTGATCAGCCGGTTGTTCCTTGGACGACGGAATCGACGACTGCGACCATTCCGGGTCGCCAGCGTCGAACTCGGGCATGGCTCGCTCCCATTTGCCCTTCCGTCGATTCATTTCCCAAGCTGGAAAAGTGACGATGTCAATAAATTACACCAATTGAGGTTGAGAATAGAAGGAAACGTGTTAGAACGAACTAGAATATTCAGGCCGTTTGAATTGATAGCAAGAAGACGTTTTTGAGCATACACGGGTTTTCAAAATGCGATCAAACAGGATTTTTCGCTGATTGTAGCCTAGTTTCCAGAATTTGGAAACGACTAAAGGGCAAAAAACGGCCCTAGCTGGCCATTTTGGAGCATTTTTTAAACTTTAAAGCTTCGGAACTTCGGTTTTCGCCGATTCTCAAAAGCACATTTTGTTCAGAGAAAAATTTTACAATTTTGTAGGCTTGCTTCCGTTTCGAAACCACGGCAACACTCAAAAACGTAGCTTTCTAAGCTTGCTAGTTGTTTTTAATAGTTTTACCGTTCATAATCCACCGAAAATAGAGCCCAGCAGCCCCCTCTATACATATAATACGCGCAGATTCATTATATAACTTTGCCAAGGGGGCGTGGCTTTGGCGACAAGGCGAAAGAGCAAGAGAACGCCGCGCTTCCCAGTTTCGAAACGCGCCCCCAAAAGATAGAGAATTCCATTGCGACAGCAAATAAAAGACAATCGCTTTTTCGCAGTAATCTGTGCCTCCAAAATCTGGATTCAAACATGTATTCGCACTCAGACGTTGCATTTTCATTTAAGCAAAACGAATATTTGCGTGCAAATACTTTATTCACTACCCGAAAAATGAGACCGAGAACGACGAAAAGAACAACCGGAAAAAGTGGACAATGCAAAGATACAGCTCAGAAACAAAGTAAGCACAAGGATGTGTGAAAAAAGGTTACACAATCAGTCAACAGGATCCGCTTCGGGGGTCTGCTCCTCCAAGAATTCCATTGGCGTGTCCTCGACGAGCTGCTCCTCGGCGTTCGACTCGTCACCGGAAGGGCCCGATTCGTCGTCGACGTCGCTGCTATTTTCCGCAGCAGCTTGCGCTTCCGCTTCTCTGGCCTTCCGTCTTTTTCGCTCACCATCGCTTTCGTAGTCGGGCTAAAACATATGTAATCAAATAAGATCAGGGACGTTATTTCACAGATCCAAAATTACAAAAAAAACTCTCACCACAACATCCTCCATATAGTCGAGCGTCTCCTTGACCTTGGCCTTACGCGACTTCTTCGGTGCCGCATCTTCCGGCTCTTCCCCATTCTCGTTGAGCATCTCCATATGCGTATCCTCGGTCACATCCGGGCCAGCTTCACCCTCATCCGAATCCTCGGCCGGAGATTGTTCTAAAGGAGAATGGACTTATCAAGGGTAGCTGAGCATTTTTATACCTGCCAATTTTTTCTTCGCCTCGATCTTGGCGATGACGTCGCGGGCCGGGTTGAAGACGCCGCCGGTGTTCTCATCGCACACTTGGCATCGCTTGGATTTTCGGAACGCGGAGATGGCGCATGATTCGCAGAAGTAATGTTTGCATCTAAAAAGGTATTGTTTTCCGAGCAAACAATAACTTACTTTGTAACAACTGGGTTGTCGAACTCTTCGTTGCAGATTTGACACTCCTCGGGCAGATTGTCCTCCTCGTCGGAGTGGATTTCCCAGTTTTCCTCCTCGACGTGCTGGCCCTTTTTCTTCTTCTGCTCCTCCTCGAAATCGCGATCAATCTCCCAGCCGTGTTTGTAGTCGGTGCGGTCGTGGATGAACTTGCAGGAATCTAAGAAAGAGGATTGCAAAATGCAAAATAGACAAAAAACCCACCTCCAAAAGTACACATTCCCGTCTCTTTCCAATCCTTGCACAGATCCGGCTTGTAGTCCCAGAGGACGGTCTGGCGCATGTGCTGTGGGGCGCGGATCGGCCCGATCCGATTTAACCCTAAACACAAAAGCATTAACAAATAGAATTATGTTTTTACCTGAACTAGCGCTTCCCTTCGCATTGTCCTCGGCCTTTTTCGCGCCGTACATCGCGGCGCCTTTGTACAGGGTCCGCCCCTCCTAAATTACAAGTTGGCCGAGTTACCGACAACTTTACCTTATCAACCATCCCGCCCTCCTCGAGCATCTTCTGCACGCGCTCGAACTGTGCCTGGGCATCGTGCGCGTAGTCGGTGTCCACCTGGAGAATCGAGGTGGCACCCATGTCTTTGGGACCTGAAAAAGTCATTGATTCGAGAATTCACGGGCATCAGAATTTCTAACACCCTTTCTCAAAGTTTACCATGTGGTTCTGCCGTTTCTGACGCTTGAAATGAATCGAGTGGTCCACCGGGCCCCGAATCGTCTGATGATGAAGAGCCGGCACGTGGGCGCCGTGCCGAATCAGTCTCCTTCTTTGTCGTCTGCACCATCGGATTCTTCCGGCGCTTCTTGACGAAAACTTCACGTTGCGCCTAAAATCCCATTACGAGTTGCGAATAGTAGCTCACCTCGGCCTCATCACCGCTGTGCTCGCTGTCCTCTTTGGGCTGATCGACACGCTGACGCAGTTGCGCACGCTTCCGCCCTCCTTTGCGGAAAGCGCAGACGGCGGGCGGGTTGTCGCCGGAGTCGCTCATCGCAACTAAAAAAAGGATTGTGTTCCGCAACGACGACGAGACAGCAAAAAAAGAGAAAAGCAACAAATCATGACAATTCCCAGCACTGCTCTTCAAAACAAATGACGAAAGCCGCGCCAGATCCCATTTTGCAAGCATGTATTTACAGCACCTTCCTTCCCCGCGCAAATCTCTGTACATCGATGTGAATTCTACAGGTATGTAACGGACGATGTGGCCTTTGCTGATGTCCCGCGCTTTTTCTCTCCAAAGGATTTATTGTGAATACAGGGAAAGCATCAACAAAACAAGATACAACAACGTAACAAATCAAATCAACAACTTTTCAACATCTTCCTTGATCTTCTGGACCTGAGATCGGAGTTGAGATCCCTCGTTCTGCGTGATCGAGCAGGCGATGACGGGGCGCGTGACGCCGCAGGCACGTCCCAGCGCGGCCTTACTCTTCACGAACACGTACGGCACGTTCTTGTCCTCGCAGAGCAGCGGCAGGTGCAGGATGATCTCGAGGGGCTCGGCGTCGGCCGCCATGATGATCACCTGGAAAATGAAAGTTGAAGGGTGGCAGCCGAAATGGAGAAACATCCACAACGGCGGGTGCTCTCCCGAGCAGAACCCAATCTTTGGGACCAAGCACCAAAAGGGCTAAATTTAAGGATCCGGTCACCTAGCCAATCTCGCTCCTTTTTATATAGAACTGTTAGATTGATGAGCTCGTACAAGATCAGTTGCCGTTTTGCCGGGTGACCGGATACCGGATTCGGGCCCAACAACTAAAAAAATGTACCTCAGCAATGCCGCGGTTGAGCGTCTTCGTGGCCTCGTTGGCGCCCTTCTTCAGCTGCTTGTAGTTCATGGCCTGTTGGACGAGGTCGAGGAGCTTCTGGGAGAGCTGGGTGTCGGCCAACGGGTAGGCCTTCGGATTGACTCCATCATCGGCCATTGTTCTTCTCTTCACTAAATGTGGATGATTAGTAAGCGTCGAAAGATGCGAAAAGGAAGTCGAAGGAAAGCAACGAATGCAAGACAAAGGGAGGCGAAAATAAGAATCATATATGGCCCCAGGAAAAAGTATGAAAAAAGAGCAAAAAAAATTCCATGCTTTGTTACGAAAAATGGAAACAAAAAAATAATTCGAAAACCCTCGGCGCCGGATCCACGGCTCTCCGGCGTGTCTTGTATCCGAACGGAGGCGCCCAACGCGCCATTCCTTTGCACGTCCCCACCACGCGCGCAAGCAATTATATTAGGCGCTGAATTTTTAATTCGGCGAAGCGTCCCGCCTAATAAAAATTAAAAACTGGGCTTTCCTCGTGTTTTTAGCCGCTCGAAAAACTTCGCAATAAGGTTTGAGGTGAAATTTTGGGATCGGGTACTCAAGGCCAGGATTTCGTATCATGTTTCCCTGAGTAATTCAAAAATGTCTCTGTGCTCCGATCCTCGGACACCAGCTAGTATGGAGAACGAATTCCAGAGTGGAATTTCGACCCTGATCAAAAATCCGCCATTTTTAGTCGACAAATCTATATTTTGATCTTTTTTACACCTAAATGTGTAAATGTTTTACATTTAGGAATAATAAATTTAGTGAAATAACCATGATCAGTGCAATTTCTTTTTTGATTTCTTTTATTTTCCTCAATGTCTCTACGACCCTGTTTTCCAGGCAAAATGCCGCGGTCGAAGCCCAAAGAAGAAGCGCCAACGGTCTCACGGCGCCGCAGCATGTATGGAATACCATAAAACGACCTTATAAATTTTATTTTTAGGAGAATTACGACCGCAACGCCCGATCCGACACCGCCCAGAACGTCAAGGCTCAAATCTGAAGGTATTCCCAGGTTTTCGATCAGAAATATTTTTTTTCTAGCGCCGGAGAAAGCAAAGAAGGCGTCGAAGAACATCGAGAAGGTCGAGGAGAAGCCCTCCCGCCGTCGCACCCGCTCGGTCATCAAGCCGGCGGTGGCCATCCGGGAGGAGGAGGAGGAGCATGAAGAGGAGGAAAAGCCTGTGTTGGTCCTTTCTTGACCAGGCATGAGTTAATCTAATTTTAGGGTCCCGCGCAAGGTGCCCAAGCTCGTCTACCGACGCTCGGCCATCAACCGGATCGAGGCCGCCAAGGAATGTGGGCAGGAGACCCCGAAAACGGTATAGCTCTTTTTTTGAAGGCCGGCGTTTCAAAAATTCGTCGTTTTACCACGCGACCTTTACAACTTTCGGCATAATGGAAGTTCGGCCCAAAAATAACCCCCGAAACGATAGTTTTAAGCCGATCGCCCGGCTGCGCATCCGCCGATCCGCCTTGGTGACGCCAGCAGTGAAGAAGCTGGTCGTGGAAAGCTCGGACGACGATTCAAGCAGTGACCAGGACAGTGAAGACGATTTCCAGGTGCTGGGTCCTCTTGAAAAGTTTTAACGCAGTTTTTAGGATGCCGAAGCGTCGGGTCTGACGGAAAAGGCGTCGGAAGAGGAGGAAAATGGCGAGGACACGGATGAGGACTCACTTGGCGATGAGCCGGAACCGGCGACGAGTGCCGTATTCAAGCTGGATCGTGAGTTTATCGTGCGTCTGATGCGGAGGGGGTTCTTGCGCCTTATCGGATGAGTGGCGAAAATTTTAACTGTTTGAATAGTGTTTTTCGCAAAATAAAGCTAATATTTCGTATTTAAACTAGACAAAACTTTAATAAGTGCGAAAACTCGAAATTTTGGCTAAAGATCTGCCATTTTTGAGCGAAAATCTAATTTTTATATTTTTGTTGTAAAAAAATGTAGGCTTTTTAGGTTTCGCATGGTAAAAACGGTTTAGAAAAACCCCGTCAGTTTATATTAAAAAAATTGGGAACTTAGAAGAAAATTTAGTCCCCCCCGATAATGCGAATGATCCGTGAAATTCGGAGGAGACCATAGAAGCTTTTCAGCGGCGGTGAAGTCGTTGAAGGGGCGTGAGGGCGAGTTTGACCAGGTGTGCACCGGGGTGGCCAAGGCCATGAAGAAGCACCGGCCCGTCACCTTCTACCTCTCCGGCTTGCCGGGAACGGGTAGGATTTTGGTCAGATTCTTTGACAGTGTTTTCTAGGCAAAACCGCGACGATGAAGCTGGTGCTGAAGGCGTTGGCGCCCTGTACGAATTCGGTGCTGATCAACTGCGCTTCCGTTTCGTCGATGAAAGACGTCGTGACGAGGGTGTGCAATGTTGATGGAAAGACGCCGCTGAGGTCCGTGGGGCGGGTGGAAAGTTGATTTGCGTTTAGGGGTCGTGCCCTCAACATCCAGACGTATGCCGACAAGCTGAGACGACCACTGCTAGTAATTCTCGATGAGGTAATCATTTCTGCTCTTTGGGACCAATTTTTTGGCCTCGTGTTCAGAAATAGTGCTTTTACATTGTTTTGAGTGCCTTTTAATTATATACAAAGTCGGAAAAACTAGCGAAAAAAGTTAGAAAAATGAAGAGGTCGAAAATTTGGTCATTTTGGTTCCAAAAAATATCACTTTTTCGACCTAAAATTAAATTTTTAATTAAAAATTTGTTAAGTTTTTATGCTGGAATATTCTTTCTTTCGTAAAATTTGACTGGCTGAAAAAAGTTAGGAAATCCTAAAAAAGCACCATCTTTTTGGTCGATTTTACGTTTACATTTGCACCATTCTACCAAGATTTCCAGATCGACCACCTGAAGAAGCAGGCCGATTTGTACTCGGTGTTTCGTTGGCCCCAAGAAGTCTCCTGGAAATTGATTGTCATTGGTTGGTGGCTTGAGAGTTGGATATATGCTTTTTCATTCAGGTATCGCCAACTCGATCGACTTGACGGAAAGGCTGTTGCCCAAGCTGAAGCTGACCATCGAGCCGGTGAAGATCCCCTTCAAGCCCTACGACGCCAAGCAGATGAAGGAGATTATCACCGACAAGATGAGGGCGGGTGAAGGGGCTGATGACGGCGGAAACGACGAGAATCGCAAGGAGGAGGACAGGGCCATCGAGTTCTGTGCCCGAAAGGTGGCGGGGGTGCGCGGCGATGTGCGGCTGGCCTGGCACGTCATGAAACAAGTCAAGTAAAGGTTTTCCCGTCGTACTGATTTGTTTCCTAGGGCTGGAAATACGCCGGTGACGCCGCGCGAGGTGCTGCGCGTCGTCAACGACACGTACTCGTCGCCCATGGCCAAGACCAAGCTCACCCTGCAATCCCGCCTCCTGCTCGCTGTCTGCCTGCGAATGAGCACCAACAAAAAGGTGATTTTGTGTTTTTACTTTTTTGCGCTTTTGTAAAACTTGGGTTCTTTCGAATTATCGGGGGAATAAATTTTTTTTGAAACATGACTAGCGAAACTGTTTTTACTATTCCTAATCGTAAAAACTTTCAAATTTAGCGCAAAAAAAATTCAAAAATTTCGATTTTTCGACAAAAAATTGCCTTTTTTGAGCATTTTTTCAAGCCTTTTGGTAGTTTTTCTAGTTAAATGTAGTTTTATTTTACTAAAAACGCTATCAAAACATTTCTAGAGTGATTAATCAAAAAAGGTCCGCCATAATGGGAAAGAACCTGAACTTCTTCCAGACGTCGCTCACCCGATTCGCCCTGTTCAACGCGTACCACAAGGCGTGTGCCGCGTGCAAGCTGTCTGCCCTCGGCGACGACGAGCTCGAGACGGTGCTCGACAACATTGCCGTCCACTCGTTTGTGCGCGTCGAGGGGAATGGCACAATTCGGCTGCAGGTCGACGCCAACACTGCCCGTCAGGCGATCTCGAATCTGGAAATGCTCGACCAGATCCATCGCCTCGATCTCTGAACCTCTAGTTTCACATTTTTTGCTTTGTAGTTTTCTGCGTTCTCAACTTTCGAAGATTATCGCATTTACAGGTCTTCATTGTCTTTCCGCAATCGATTGTAGCTTTCACGTTTTCACATTCCGACTTTTCCATGCATTGCCCCGTTCCGCGTGTTTATTAATACTGGTAAAATGGCCGACCCTACGGCAATAAATATTGACATTATACCGTGTGCTTTCGAGTGATGAGTTGCGCCCTGCAATATCTGTTTTGTTGGCGATCATGCTTTTTAAAAAACTGTACTATTCTTCTTACAATTTTTTTGGGTCAGTTTTAGGTTTCTTGCTCAGTTTTTCGCGGCTAATTAAGCGCAATACTCAAAACCGAAGCTCAGTTAAATTGTGCTTCACAAAGCTAAATCGAAGCCAAAAGCGATGAAGCTGTGACACAGCCAAGCTAACTAAGTAAACCAAAGAAAAACTGAGGAAGAATGGCTGAAAACGACCCCAAAATTTTTTTTTGCGCCCTTTCTCTCAATTGAATAGTGCCAAAACTGCAATTCCCGGCGTTGTGGCCCTTCACACTTTATTCACACTTCACCCACTTTATTCCCATGAAATTTCCCGCTTTAGAATGCGCCCGTTGACCGACGAAGAGTCCGAGGCCGTCTTCGCAAAATTGGCCCATTATATTGGGGACAACGTGCAGCTACTCGTCGATCGGTATTGCCAGCTCTATTCTTCAATTCCTTGCGATTTAGAAGCGACGGCGAGTATTGCTTCCGGCTACACAAAGAGCGCATCTACTATTGCAGCGAGTTTTTACTCAAAAAGGTAACCCTCCCAAGTTTTTTCTGCAAACTGTTGTTCTAGGCATCCTGCATCGCGCGCGAGCCCCTGCTCTCCTTTGGCACCTGTCTCGGAAAATTCACAAAATCCAAAAAGTTCCATCTTCACATCACCGCGCTCGACTACCTTGGGCCCTACTCGAAGGTAAAAATTGCGGAATTTCGTCAATATCTCAATTCCAGTGGCGTGTGTGGCTGAAGCCGAACGCAGAGCAGCAATTCCTCTACGGCAACAACGTGCTCAAGTCTGGTATCGCCCGTATGACCGAGGGAACGCCGGCGCATCAGGGCGTCGTCGTGTTCAGCATGAATGATACGCCGCTTGGGTGCGTTTTTCCTTTTTTCCCGGCAGTTTCCCTCAGTTCTGGACGTCTGGTACGACCAGAAGTTAGGGAGCCACGTTTTTGTCGCCTTTTGGGGTTTTTCAAGACTATTTTTGTGTGCTGATCTCGAATTTCGCTGAAATACAACTGCAAACGTCAGGTTGTACCGGAATTATCGAGCCAAAAGACGACAAAAACCCTAACCATCCATGTACCGGAAGTCCTTCCCAGCCCCGATCTAAAACGAGGTTTTTCAGGTTCGGCGTGACAGCCAAGGGAACCGCAGATTGCAAGCGCGCCGACCCTACCGCCATCGTGCTCCTTCATCAAGCCGACCTTGGCGAATATCTCCGAAACGAAAGCTTCCTCACCTAATCCAATCTTTGCCCGTCGTTGCTAAATTTCGTTTTCTGCCACCCTCCGTCGATTTGCCGTCTCGTTGTTGTCGTTGTTCGTTCATTGTTGAGTTTGTACTTTTTATTATAATAATTACATTTCAAGCGCCAACATCATAATGATCAAAAACGAGAAATGCTGATTCGAGCGAGCAAAACCGGAAACAAAATCAAAGCTAATTGCGCGAAAACGACTTGTAAGGTGGCAAAACGGGCAAACGATACTGACTAGGGGGATTCGTTCTATTGTCTATCAAAAGCTTCTTCGCTTCTTCCAACATCCGGTCGGTGGCCAACGGTGCCGGGACGGCCTTCATCCACGCGTCCTTTCCCAGTGCTTGTCCCCTCCACATGCAGATTGCGTTACACACGATGACGCCGATTTCCTGTGGCGTAAACAGGACGAGATACTCGGCATTCTTCATCATCAATTCCATGGTCCAACGGAACGCGAGTTTGTGATAGGCCACGTCCTCGGGGATCAACGCTTTGATGATGTGAAGGGCATGCTGCGGCGGCATTTCCGGTGCCAAATCGAAGCCGAGGGTCTGCAGAACGCACAGCTCCACTTCGAGGATTATTTTGGCCAGCTCGGCGGTTTTTATTTGGCCGTATTTGCCTCGTCCGTGGATGACGCGCCTCAGCGCCGCCGACAGTCGTTCCATCGAGATCCATTGTTTCCTCATCTTGGCGGCTATCCACAGCGCTGCGGCGGCGACAAATTTGTAGTAGACGTCCTGGAACGCGTGGCAGCAGTAGAAGCGTTGCGTGTAGATGGTCGCCGCCGCGATCAGGGACGTCTTGACGGAATTCGGGAATTTGCGCAGCTGATCGACGGTGGTGGCGATTCGGTAGACAGAGCGCGCGGCGCGTGTTCGAGTGGCCAGTTCGGCTTCTCGTGTCATTCCTTGGGCACAGGAGGGCGATTCGTCGATTGAGGCCAGGCACCATCCTTTTCGCGAAGACGCCGTCGCCGATTCCATTGTCTGAAAAGGATAAATAATCTTCTATGAATCCTGAGCAAGATTTTTACAAGTTTACGGCACACTCCCAAAGTGCATTTTTTGCTGTCAAACGCAGCGATGGACATCAGCTACAAACTCTACGCGTTGGGCTTTAGGCCTGCGGCGCAACAGCGCCAATAGCGCGCAATTTCGAGTCTGCGGCGCTCATCTAAGCGCCCAGCCTTCAGAAAATCTGCAAATCAACGAATTTCCGAACCCAAAAATCGTCTTGTAAGGCATGAATTTCCCAGTTGCACGCCAAAAACCAGCTCGAAACGCGGTTATCCACCAGGAAAAACGCATGCTTCATTCCATTGAGAATTTCGTTGTTTCCAAAGCGCGCATTTACACGTCCCGCGTCCGACAGCAAAAACGCAGTTTTGGAGAGTGTCGTAACCTTCAGCTTTCACCGATCAACGCGAAAAACCGCTGAAAGATGTTACCTAAAGTCCTGTCGCAAAAGACGTTGCCAGTCCGCTGGCGCTTTGAAGACTTGCTGTAGCCGCCGAAGTACCTGTAAATGAGGCTTTAGCGAGGAAAGGAAGAGATGAGGAACGCAAAACGGAAAAGAAGACACGAAAATGTAAAAATCAAGATGACGGCGAGTGCGAAATTGTGAACAGGGGTGAGCGCTGCGTCAATAGGAGCTGCTGGGAGCGGCAGCGCGCTTTAGGAATCATCGGAGCCGCGTTTTAAATCGCTTTTAAAGGGCTGCCGACGGCATGTGTCGATCCCCCCTCATCAACAAATTGGCAAGTAGCCAACAGGGGAGAGAGCGCGCACAGGGGAGAAGCGCAGAGACATTTTCTTTTCCGCGCGTAACCGATTGACTATGCCGTCGGCATCCCTTTAAAGGGCTAGTTCAGCCAATAAAACAAAAGAATTTCCGCGGCCAGGAGTCGAACCCTCTCTGCGTTTTTATGTCTGCGCCTCTCTCATTTCCCCGATCTCTAATAGCTGTCGTAATGGGGGACTGTTCGGGCGCACTGTGCCTACGTCCATAGTTTCCCAAGGTACCAGCCCAAGCTCTAAAAGTTGAACTAGCCCTTTAAGCCGCTAGGGCTTCTAAATAAGCTTTCACTATCCAATTTGCATCATCGCAAGCCACCCGCTTGCCCCCCGGAAAGATCCGCTGGGACAAATTGGCTTAGGAGGAAGGGGGGGGAATAGTCATGGGCAGTTTCATTCTCTGATTGACATGTCCACATCTCGTTAATTTCACTTTTACACCCCGATCAGCCAAGCCGCGGGTATAGAGCCATGCTGGCCGGGGCAGGCTGTGTATGTGGTGACAAATTGACTCGTCCACCCCCAACTGGGGGCCCCCGATCGCTGGCTGGCCAACGGAAATGTCCGGCGGGTAAATGGGCTTCATCGAGGCGCTAACGCGGTACGCCCTTCGATCTGGGTTCTTTCCGCTTATCGGGGGGGGGGGGGGGCGTTTCTGGTTAATTCTAGAAATGTCTAGTAACTTTTATCAAGTGTTTTTACAATGTTTTAATACAATAAAACTTGATTTCCACTATAAGAACTATCTAAAAACGCTGAAAACTTTCAAAAATTCAAAATGTTGGTTTAATAAAGTTCATTTTTCGTCAAAAAATCTATATCTAGGCTCTTTTTGTAAAAATTTGTCCGTTTTTCCGTCTAGGAATAGTAAAAAATAGTTTAGAAGCACTTTCACTATTTATATTAGCACAATTGGGTTCTTAGCAAAAAGTGAGAAGCACCGAAATTGCCGTTTTTGGCTGGCTAATCGACGATGATTTTCCGTCCGCATCGTAGAAACATAGAAACCAAAATCGCGTCCGTTTTTACACCGATTTTGGTACTACAAAAACCGTCGAGTCAGTCGAGTCGGATTGGCGACATTGGGCCGGACCGCGGTGGCCAAATTACCTGGGCAGCCCCGCCAAGAAGGCGGGCAGCAGCTGTCCACGTAATAAGAGCGTTTGCTTGACCCGCGGCGTCATTGGGGCTTCTTTTATTGTCGCGGTGCCCGGCTTCGAGCGCCAAATTCGTAGCGCCACGAATTTTCGTCGCTGGCCGGTTGCTTAGATTTTCGTATCCTAAACGGCGCTTTTTCACATAATTTCCGGTACTGGTCTGTTAGCCGGGGGGAACTAATTTTTCCCATTTTTCCTGTACGGCCCTATGAAAAATTATTGACGATTTTACTCTCATTTTACACAGTTTTTAGCTAGAAAAAGCTGACAAAAATTATAAAGATTTTATTTTTCGCTTATTGCTCAAAAATGTATGAAAATAACGAAAAAAGGTCGAAATTTTCGAGTTTTCAAGATGTTTCAAATATTTTTCGGACTTTCTAACCATCAAAATTGCTAAAAACATCAGGAAAATACAATATTGGCCAATAACAGGTAGGTATAGACGGGAAAAAAAATTGGTTTTGACCCTGCTAACAATCCCCCCCTGCTAATAGTGCAGTACCATAATGACAAGAATTTCTGCTAGCCTGCCAGAATCGCCTCACGCTCCTCACAGCGAAATTGTTCCTGCTAGCCCCCCTGTTTTTCTGTTCTTGTCAATATTTTGGAATCGAATCACCCTCGTTTTCTTGTTGTCCGAATCCTATTTTGAATTGAGGTGCATGTGGTGTATGTTTGTGGGGGGTGGGGGGATGTGGCCAGTTGTGCGTGCGCATCTGTGAGAGATATTGGCCATAGGGGATCGACATCGGGGCGGGTGACACCTGTTTCACTTGTGGCCCCACCCATCCCCCCCTTCACTCGCCTCAAATTCCTAAAGGGTCTCTGTCAGCCCCCCTCTTCGTCTGCTTGTCAACACATCCACTCAACCCTCATGTCATTCAAAAATCTAGAAAAATCCCGATTTTCGACCCTGATCCGCGTTTTTAGAAGCTTTTTAGTCGCGATTTTGCTTCCGGTTTATCATAGGAGACACTTTTTTAGTGCATATCTTGTGCATAATTCTGTGCTGACTCCGAATATGCTTTCGCGATCTGCGAAACGCCTAAATTCAGGAATTTATGAGGCTTTTCCTGCAAAATACGCAACGATTCCTCGAAATTAGGCCATTGACGGTCTTTTCGCACCATTTTGCTTCCGGTTTTTTATACGGAAGAGCCTTGCAGTTCCAAACCGGGACCAAGTCTACTGTCCGGAATTTTGTGACGTATCAAAAACAGCTCTCGGGATCTGCGAAACGCCTAAAGAATTTATGAGGCTTTTCAACGGGAGCTGGGTGTGACACCGCGCCAGCTGCAGGATTTCTATTGCGCGCCCCAGTGACCGTAACCCCCAGCCAGCCCCCCCAGAGCCCTCTCGCCTTTTCGACCGACTTTTCCTTACTTAACCGAAAGGAAAGAATGTAGAAGTAAGAAAGAATGAAACAACGTGAAAAGTAAAAAATATTTACTAAAAAATGGTTTTTGTATGAAGTAAAAAGTAATGCTAGGGTCCATCCCTAGGCTTTTATTCATGAGGTTCTTTAGATGGATGTCTTTATTTCTGACAGAGTAAACTCTAGTAACGGTCTTTTGTAGATTCTTTTACCTTTTCATGCATTGTGCAATCTATCTAACTATATATAAAAAAATAGTGTTTGTGTGTGTATATTTGCATGCAACTTCCGTGAGTATGTACCGCACCTACAGCTTCTGGGTAAGGTTTTTAAGGTATGTTTGATACATCATTAGGTGCGTAAAGGTGCCGAGATGAGTGCACACGCATAAAAGTGTTGAAAAATTACTGTTTTCGCGATTAAAATTGAGTTTTTGTAAAGTTTTCGAAAAACCTCTTTGTTAGGGGCAATTAGCATGCGCCGGAAGCAGGAAGAGCCTATATAAAGGGACAGAGGAGCCGTTTTCACTTTTTTTCTTGCTTGAATTCAGGAAGAAACATGCAAATTGAGGACTTTCACACGTCCTAGACGGGGCCAGGGTTGAAAAGCCGCGAAGCGGTTTTTCGACCCTGGTAATACAATATAATAATAGGTGTGTAATATATGTAGGGGTATCTCGGGTATAAAGAAGTTTGTGGGAATGCTTTGAATATGGGCCCTAGGTTTGCTGCAGGCTTACTCAACGGCTAGAAACGTTCTAAGGGAGTAGCTAAACCATAGCGTAGGCCCTAAACATAGGTTAAGCTTCAGCTTATATTAGCGATCGGCTCCGCTTAAGGATAGGTACCACCTCCGCTTCTCCTCGTGATCAAAAGCCTTCGACTAGACATCGGCATTCTGGTTGCGCGTATACTGCTTCACTTATAACTTTTAACCTTAAACGCTCCAGCCATCACTGCTAATTCGGATACAGCTATCTACCGCTCATGTAGCAGGCGGAAAGCACCAAATCTCTCCGGCATGCGGTTCCAGGATGACGACGACCTGCAGCTTCACGAAGATGACGACGCCACCTGATCACAACATTCGCACGGCTTATTGCTAAATGGTTATAATTTGCTATCGCTGCAACGTGCTGATAGATTTTTGGAGAGACCATTTCTTTCTATATCGCTGGAAGTCGAGAAGTCTAAAGAAGATCATGAAGCGTGGACTTAAAGTTCATGGGAAACGGAAAAATGGTTCGAGTTGGTTAAGTTGAAAATATTAGGTGATTATCTAACTTTGGAGACGATTGCCTACGAAAATAAGATACAAAGACGCGTCTGCTTGATCAGCATTAGCTGCTATTAATTCTACGCCTTAGTTAATGTCCTACTTTCGTTTTTTTAATAAAAACTATTAACTTTTCACGTTGTTTCATTCTTTCTTACTTCTACATTCTTTCCTTTCGGTTAAGTAAGGAAAAGTTGGTCGAAAAGGCGAGAGGGCTCTGGGGGAGCTGGCTGGGGGTTACGGTCACTGGGGCGCGCAATAGAAATCCTGCAGCTGGCGCGGTGTCACACCCAGCTCCCGTGGCTTTTCACTGCGGAAAAAACGCAAAAGCTGCTTGAAATTAGGTCATTTTCGGCCTTTTTTTACACTTGAAACCTTCATCGTTTTTCGATCTAATTCTTTTCGTAAAGCCCGAAAGCAGATTCGGAAGGGTCAGGCTTTTCAAGCAAAAAAATCTTAGATTATGGCGTTTCCCGACGAGACCAGGTCGATCTTTGCGCTGATTCCGGCTCCATTTTGGCCCCTGAAAGCTTCATAACTTTTTAGATCTAGCCTTTTCGAAAATTCCGAGTCCAGATTCGGAGTCAGCGCAAAATTCTACGCAAGAGGGGACTGGTCCCGGGCGGTAATTCCATAATCGACGATTTTTTGGCCTAAAATCTCATTATTTCAAAAGTTCCTTACGAGGCTAAATCGCGGAAATTCCACTTTCCTATTTTCCAAAACTTTTAATTTCCCCTTTTAAAACCTGCAAATCGAAACCAACGTCTCCTAAACGACCCTTTAGCGATATGCCAGACACCGACCTTCTCAGCAGCTGCCTCAGGATATTGCCCCTACTCGTGCTACTCGTACCTACGAATTGTCAACAGTGTTCCCGCGTACAAGCATGTGGCGCGACGATATCCCGATATCCCACCGTACAAGCCGAAGAGGGCTCAGGTACGCTAGCTATTACGGTCCTTGCGCATTATCGGGGGGGGGACCAATTTTTTTTGATCCCATTTCCAAAAATAAACAGCGGAACTGTTTCTAAACTCTATCTTACTATTCTTAACGTGAAAACCTTACAAAATTTTATTAAAAAAGATAAAAATATCGATTTTCGGACCAAAAATGGCCGTTTTTTGACCAAAATTTCGACTTTATAAATTTTGAGTTTTTCGATGGTTTTCTAGTTCAAATATAGTGATATTTTACGAAAGGCACTATTAAACCCCAAAACTGGGCACCTTTTGAGACCCGGAAATTAAAAACTTCTCTCGCCGGAAGAAATTAGAGCGCTCAAAATCCCCAGAAAGTCATTAATAAAAATCTGAAGCATTTGTCACGTTTTCCAGGAGCATCACCGAGCGATGTGACGCCTCTCTACGACGAGCTACTAACGCCGATCGCAGTTTTTGACTATTCAGCCGAGGCTGAGATCAAGGTGAGAAATTGTCAAGAAAGCCACCTGAAAAAGGATCAATTTCCCCACAAAATCCCTCTTACTAGCAAAAATTGTATCACGCAACCTGCCTATTAGGATCATCTGGTTCTGGTGCATTACCGGGGGGGAGGGCGAAATTTGGTGTAAAAGCCCAGAAATGCCTGCTAACTTCATAGGAATTATTTTAATAGTTTTTTTTAGCAAAAAAAAACTGGGTTGAACGAGAAAACTATCTAAAAAACTTTCAAAAAGCTGAACTTGCTCAAAAAATGGCCATTTCTGATCGAAAATACGATAATTTTTAGGTTTTTTTTAACAAAAATGTGTAAACTTTTTACTTTCTTAAATAGCAAAAACGGATTAGAAAAATTGGCTCCAAAAAATTCACCCCCCCCCCCCGATAATGCGAAAGCACCGTCCACGTAATCGAAGCCGGTTGCAGAACTTCAAGCTGTGCACGTGCGCCAACAACGTGACGTGCGACATGGAGGACAGCTCGAAAACGTTGCGGCTCGACGACTCGGTCACGGTCAGTTTCCGGACGCGATTTATTGGAACCACAAACTATAAAGAAACTACAAGCAACAAAAATACAAGCTACAAACTTCAAAAAATCTATACGCTACAAACCAGAAACGACAAACTACAAAAGAACTATAAATACAAACTACAAGCTACAAACTACAAAAAAGCCCTAGACAAATCTTGAAATCAACTTTCAGCTGCACTTCTGCGAAGAGCCGGCCGCCCAGATACCCAACGAGTGCAAGGGGCGCAGAGGCATTCTACGGGTCATAGGTAAATTATTATAATTCCACTAACTTGGTTTTTGCTAGAGGGTACTGGACTGTTAGCGGGGGGGGGGCTAATTTCTCCTTGTGATCCTCTACGAACCTATAACAAATTATCAACAATTTTTATAGCATTTAACATCGTTTTGCCTAGAAAAAGCTCATCAAAAACGTAGAAAAATTTTGTTTTTCGATTTTAACTCCAAAAGGTAAAAAAAATGACGAAAAAGGTCAAAGTTTTCGAATTTTTTGAACGTTCTAGCAATCAAAAACTCCGGAAAACATTGTAAAATACATTTTTTATTATTAACAGGTAGGTAGAGACGAAAAATCCAGTTCTTTTCGTTTCGAATAACGAAAAAGGCTCAGCCCGCCGCCCCACTAACAGTCCAGTACCTGCTCTATCAGGTCCTTTTCAAACGTGAAAACTACAGATTCTGACTGGAAACTACAAATTTAACAAAAAATATTGATTTTTTTTGGACCAAAATTTCAGCTAAATCTGAAAAACCTCTTCTTTATTTTCCCCTTAAAATATAGCGAAAAATTGTTAAAAAACTATTAAAAGAATTATTGTTACCTTACGAGGCATTTCTGAGCTTCTAGAAAAAAGCAAAATCCGCACCGTTCAGGCCATGCGCACGAGACGGGCTGGACGTTGGCGTCGGTGACGAACACGCTCGCGTTTTGTACGTGTCCGGCCGGATTCCGGAGGGTAAGTCTATTGCCGGATTTTTGTGGCCGAAAAAGGGCGTCCGGCCACTACCCCGAAATTCGTTATCCCGAAAACTGCCAGTTTTCATTCGGAATGTCTATGAAAATCATGCAAATTCATGCGGGGTAGTGACTTTCGGGGAAGAAAAAAAAACCAAAAACGGGCTACAGTACCGCCATTTTCAAATGGCCGAATCGGGGCCGCAATAATTCACCCGGTTGCAGGCCTCAACGCACATGTGGGACCACGCCGAGCTCGCCCTCAATTATAAGTGCCTCTGAGCCCCAGCTGTGCCATCCCTGAACTCAAAAAATTTCCGCCTAAAATTCCGGTAGCATTGACCTATCTAAAAACTTATCAACCTCCAGCAATTTCCGGTTCTTTCCGCTTAACGGGGGAGGGGCTAATTCTACATTTTTTAATAGGTTTTGATCGCTGGAAAGTTAAAATCCGTTAAAATCGTTGAAAAATCGAGATTTTTACTTTTTTGAGCAGTTTTCACGAAAATTTGCTAATTCTTCGGGCATTTATATCTAAAGACTTTGTAAAATGCTCTAAAAAACGTTTATATTTCATCATGAGGCACGTACGGAATTATTTCTTGCTAGATAATTCCAAATTTTTACCCTTTTCCGGCATTTTTCATGCATTTTTAAGAAAACCGGCCAAACAGAACATTTATATCATTTTTCATGAGTTTTTTTACATCGAAAAAACGTCTAGAATGCTATAAAAATGGTTTATATTTGGTTATTGGGGAAACATCGCGCCCCGCCCGCGTTAAACGGGAAGAACCGAATTTTCGATGATATTTCTCGTCCCCTTCTACCATCTTGCTCGTTTCTACGCATATCCCGGTGTCCCCCCAAAAAAAGCCCGTCTTGACGCGTTGCTCAACAACTCAAACCCCCCAGTACAATCAACAACAAAAAGCCCTAGCGCATGAATCTCAGACCGTTCTACCTTCTATGATTTTCCTCGTTTCCGCCAACCTTTAAATGATCGATACCCTCAGAATGAATGGTTTTCAATGCTTAAATCACAACGAACACGGGCTCCTGGGTGCCTTTTTGCCGCCGGAAGCCGAGGAATTGCGTGTGTAATGAAAGACAGCGAGCGGCGTGGATGAGCAAGAGATGAGTCACCCCCGGGGTCAGTCACCCTACACAACAATTGGCCACACAAGCGGAAAACTACACAACAGCCGATGCTATTAAGCAGTAAAGTTAAAGGCTGCGAAAAGCGTGGGGCTATTTAAGCAGTAAAATTCGATTTAAAATCTTGATTAGGGCGCAATTTTCGTCATTTTTGCGGGGTTTTCGCAACGCTGTCCAATAGAGCATCGAAAACTACATCGAAAACTAATGAAAACTACCACGAGCTTTCTCATTGTGGCTGAAAATATCCGATTCCAGAAAATCGTTACAGTAAAAACAAAAATCGCCAGTCAAGCCGAGGCGGAGCGGCTATTTTTCGATATTTTCGAGTTATTTCCTATATTTTGTCTACGCGATTCGTTAAAGCATCGAAAAATCTACCAAGGGTTTTGAATTTCAGGTTAAAATAAAGTCATATAAAATAGTTATAGCAAAAAACCCCCATGCCTAGCTAAAAAGCACTACACGCACTAACAGACTTCACCCGATTAAACCTGACTGCCGCTCCCGATTCGCCATATCGCGCCACATTGCCGAGTTGTTGGCCGTTGCTGCACCCTTCGTCGCTGCTGTTGCCGCCGGTCCGCAGTTGATTCGCTCCTCCGTCAAGCGTACCTGGAAAACGGAAGGTGGATTTGCCTGGAAAAAAAAGAAAAATAAATAAACAAAAAAAATTTTGAGGAGAAGATACTTTTTTCCCATAAAAATGCTAAACCAGAAACACCCTACGCGACATTCCATATTGCGAAAAAACGTGGTTCTTTAGGATTCCCGGGGGGGGAAAGTATTCCCGGGGGGGGAAACCAATTTTTTTCCTGGTGGTCCCGGTTGACCTAGTAATCAAATATAAAGTGTTTTCGAATTGTTTTTAGTAAGTTTTAACTATATTTAAAGCAGAATAACTTTCAGAAAAATTTAGAAAAATGTTTGAAAAAGTCGAAAATTTGGTCATTTTGGGTCTATTTTTCGACCTAATTTTTAATTTTTTACATTTTTTTTGGTTAAAATGTGTGTAGTTTTTATGCACAGGAATAGTTAAAAACAATTTAGAAACGCATCCGCAATTTATACAAAAATCTAGGCTTTCGCCGAAAAAAATTTGGTTTCCCCGGGAATACTTTCCCCCCCCCGGGAATCCTAAAGAACCAAAAACGTCATTCCGCTGTGCCTCGGAACAGGAAAATCTCAGAAATTTGCTTTCCGAGAAGCCAAAAATATAACTTTTTATGAGCTATTTCTACCAAAAGCCAGTGTAAAATAAGCCTACACCTAAGCATAACCTAAGCCTAACCTCTGCCTAAGCCAAAGCTACGCCTAAGCCTAAACCTACGCCAAGAGGAACGCTACGCCTAAGCCAAAGCTTCAGCGGAGCCTAAACCTAAAGCTAAACGTAGACCTAAGCTTAAGCCTAAGCCTAAGCCTAAGCGAAATCTAAGCCTAACCTAAGCCGAACATAAGCCTAAGCCTAAGCCTAAGCCTAAGCCTAAGCGAAATCTATACGTCTAACCTAAGCCGAACACAAGCCTAAGCCTAAGACTAATCTAAGCCGAAAGCTAAGCCTAAGCGAAATCTATAAGTCTAACCTAAGCCGAACACAAGCCTAAGCCTAAGACTAATCTAAGCCGAAAGCTAAGCCTAAACCAAAGCCCAAGCCTAACGTAAGCCTAAGCCGAGTCTAAGCCGAGCCTAAGCTTGGTTTGAGGTACCCCCCCATACGATTCTTTTGGGGTCCTTTTCCGGATTTAAAAAAGAACCACGCATCGGATCGCAAAACTGAATACACCATCGGAACCGGCGACACTTTTTGCATACTATAGGCTTTTAAAAATTGAAAAAGATTGAAATTTCGAATTTTAACAGCCGATTTAAATTGCGTTTCGAGGGGGGGGTCTGCGTTTGTTTGTATGTATGTATGTATGTATGCCACAAAACCTTTGTAGTCGTCAAAAAGTGCCTTCCCATCATCCGTTTGGGCTGAAATTTTTTACAGTTATTGGGTGAATGATAATCTCGGACCGCAAGAAGAGTTTTTTTCAAAATAGGCTTTTAAAAAATTTATATTTAATTTTTAAGTTTAAAAGCTAAATTGCGGCCAAAACAAGGGTTAGTGATGTCCGTTTGGGCTGAAATTTTGCTCAAATAGGCATTAGACCATGCCAGATAAAGTAAAGAAGAAATTACATCGAAAGAATGCTTCTTCTCTGAGATATTATAACTTTAAACCTTCGCCATACGGGGCGCCACCCTCCCCTTTGGCGGCCCCAGTCCCGAGCCAGGGCGGGCGGGTCTAGCTTCCCCAAGACAGGCCTCCAGTCTGCCCGTTGGCGTAGTGGTTAGCACGCTGTACTGGGAAGTCTTGCCCCACGGGTTCGAACCCCACCCGCAACATCCGTTTTGCCGATCCTTATGGTTTCTAGTGCCGTTACAAAGCGCCGCAGGCAAATTTTTTTGAAGTTTTGCGTACAAGAGTTATGTGTTGAATAAGTATTCATTGGCTTATTTTACGATCTTAACAATAAGATTGAGGCAAAAAAGGGCTAAATTCTCTCTAAGGCTAAAAAGAGTCTTTTTAAAAGAGGGCTTTTGGTTTTCGCAAAAAGAGACGAATTCTCGTGGCAACAAAAAGTGCTAAATTCCTTTCAAACTCTTAAAATGCCACAAAATGTGGGATCAACCAAAAGTTGCTGGCACCTTATTAAAATGGACAGATCCAGTTTCTAGCGGTTTCGGCTTGCAAATAATTTCTGTATTATGATCTATTTACACTTTCTTGAAATTAAACTGTGGACCTGACCTGTGATCTGGGATGGTACCGAGTTTATTAAGATTTTAAATAGCCAGCAATTTTTTGTTGTTCCCGCATTTTGTAGCATTTTAAGAGTTTGAAAGGAATTTAGCACTTTTTGTTGCCACGAGAATTCGTCTCTTTTTGCGAAAACCAAAAGCCCTCTTTTAAAAAGACTCTTTTTAGCCTTAGAGAGAGCCTTAGAGAGACCTAAACCAAAGCCCAAGCCTAACGTAAGCCTAAGCCGAGTCTAAGCCGAGCCTAAGCTTAAGCCAAAGCCTAACCTAAGCCTAAGCACGCTTATAATATTTCCCTACATTTTCCAGGCATATGATGCGTGGGTAGTGTTTTAGAATGCAAGAAACCCGTTCCACGGCGTTCATGGCCGTCGGGACGTCGCCCTCCCCCCCCCCCCCTCCCGCCGGGAAAACGACTTGCCGGCGGTGTGTGTATGTTTGTGGGGGGTGGACGGATCTGGTTTTGGTCAGTCAGTCGGTGGGGGAGACAGTTTTCCAGCTCGCGTTCCCCCTCCTCCTCCTCATCCTCCTCCTCGCTGTTGATCATCACCCAAATCTTGCCCTAAAAACATTGAATTCATTTACCTGCCATGGGCAACACAAACTTGTTGTGCCCCGAATTGGCTGATGTTCACTTTGTCGAAATTGCAAAGCGTTTTTCGCCTCGATTATTCTTCTAAAACGTTTCGAAAATTGAGAATTTAGCTCATTGAAATTCCGCCAAAATGAAATAATCGCATAGTCAGTGTTTTAATAGTGTTTTTTTGTAAAATTTAACTACATTTTCAGTGAAAACAATCAAAAAGTTGTTGTTAAAAAACTAGGTTAGAATTTTCGTCGAAAATCGACCAGTTTTCATCGAAAAATGTATATTATTGTATTTTTCATAAATTTTTTCAAAATTTTTACGTTTAGGAATCTTCAAAAACATAAAACTACGCTAGAAAAACTCTCTAAACCCCTTAAAAAATGTCTAAAAAGTCGAAATTTTGGCAAAATTCGTCCATTTTTCATCGAAATCTCGATATTTTTTTGATTTTTTTCATTTTTTTCAAAATTTTCACGTTTAGGAATCGTAAAAAACACACATTTAGATCAAAATAAAGCTGAGAAATGTACGCGTGGACACTGCTGGCGGCCCTTTTTGCCTTGACCCTGGCGAACCCGTTGCCGAATGCAGATTACGACGGCTTCCAGGGCATCTTCGACTCGACCGAGCAATTCTGCGAGCACATGATGAGAGAGGTGGGCGCACAATTTGGAGCTGGACTGTTAGCGGGGGGGGTCTATTGTTAATATTATGATATTTTTATCAAGTTTTTAGTATTTTTGATTGCTAGAAGGTCATAAAACGTTCTTAAAAACCAGTTGGTTACAGTCGCTTCGCGACTGCAACCATCTGGGCTTCGGGCTACCCTACATGTCCTACTCCACCACATCCTTCCCTACCTCCTTCAACCCCCCTGATAACCGAAATCCCCTTCAAAACTACCTAAATACCTTCCTAGATACTTTAAATAATTTAAATAATTAATTAACATAATTAAAAAGTATTAAAAAGTATTAAAGTAACTTAAGAAAGCGATCTGGGCGCGCGAAGGGGCCTGGGGAAGAGGGGCGAGGGGAAAGGGGGCGTGGCCTCCCGGGAGAGGGGCCCCCACTCCTTTTACTAAGGAAAAACTTTCAAAGTTAATTAAGTAATTTAGTTTAATAACTTAAACTAAAGGTTTTTCATAATTTTTTTATCAGTTTGGGGGTTACCGACCACGCTCTATCCGAATCCGAAGAGAGCTAAGCTCTAGCTCCTTTCCCCTTCGAGTTGAATTCGGCTTCACACACACACAGACGTCTTTACTTTTTTATTATAGTTGATTGAAAATTCGATAACCTTGATCTTTTTCGAAAACTTTGATAGATTTTTGACGGAAAATTCAATTATTTTTCGTCTATGCCTCCCTGTTAATAATAAATAGTGTATTTACAATGTTTTAGTAGGTTTAAAAATGTTCTAGAACGTTCAAAAAAATGTTTAAAAAAATTTTAAAATGGAAAATTTTGGACTTTTTTTTAGACAAAAAGCGAAACCCAAATTTCTTGTGATTTTTTACGAGCGTTGTAAACTATAAATAACTAGAAAATGGACTTATCCCCCCCCGTTAACAGTCCAGTACGAATTTTTCTAGACATTCGGCGCCGACGTCGTGAAGCACCCCGGTTTTGCCGCCCATATGGCCACGCAGGGGCTGAAGACGCGCTTCTGCGACGAGGCCGATCAAGCCGTACAGGTAGCCGTCTTGTAATTTCCCCTCTCAACTAGGTTTTGGTAAAATAAAACAAAATTTTAATTAGAAAATTAGCTAATGTTTTCAAAAAGTCGAAATTTTGGTCAAAGCGACCATTTTTGGTGGAAAAATCGATATTTTTGCATGCTTTTTATGAAAATTTGTAGCGTTTTTACGGTTAGGAATAATAAACAGCAGTTTAGAAAAAGTTTCGCTATTTATATTTTAAAAATTGGTTCCTAAGAAAAATTCTTACCCCCCCCCGGTCATGCGAAAGTGCCCTCAATTCTAACTACCCCTAAATTCAGTGCGCATCGGGCAGCGCATCAGGCTCGGTGCACTTTGACCTGGTGGGCGACGAGTGCCTCACCCAATTCGACGCCGATTGGCGGGACACCGTCGTCGAGTTGAAGAAGAAATTCGGCAAGTCTCCCTAGCTGTTCGTGGAATAATAAATTATATTTATTTATTTAAGTTAATTACACTTTATACAATGGAATGAAAGATTAGTTCCGTTCGAGTTGCCCGTGAAAAGACTTGCTGCGTCCTTTGGCCGTCTTGGACGCCTCGGCCGCCGTGATACTGCGCGCTTTCTAAACTTTTCTCCATCCTCTTTAATTCTGTCCTATAGCGGCGAAAGTTTGGGGAATTGGCTTTCATCTTAGGCTTCGTTTCTAAGCCTGCGGCGAAGGCTTAAGCTTGATCTTGGACGTTAAGCCTGCTGTCCAAGCTTGCGTCTCACAGCTTGTCAGGCCTACTTGTTAGAACGAAGCTGGGCACAAAAGCAAGCGCTGGAGGCTTAGGAACGAAGTTAGCAGCTCAAGCTTGCGCCGCAAGCTTTGGTACGAAGCAAGCCGCTGAAGCTTGCGCCGCAGGCTTAGAAACGAAGCTGGCCACTAAAGCAGGCGCCGGCGGCTTAGAAACGAAGCTAACAGCTCAAGCTTGCGCCGCAAGCTTTGGTACGAAGCAAGCCGTTCAAGCTTGCGCCGCAGGCTTAGAAAAAGATAAAGGGCTAATTTCCAAGCTCGTCTACCAGCATAAAACGAACCTCGTAGTCAATCTGTTGCTTGTAGTACATACAATTCCGAAGATATTCGTGTGATTTTTCGAAGGATGGCCCGGCTCGTTTCATATTTTCCACCGTCCTGTAATAGCCATTTCTTTTAAATTTCTTTGTGAATTACCCTAACGCATTGTCGAGATCGAATTGAACGCCGGCCAGTTGCTGCTGGACTTCCTGAAGAGCGATTTTTTTCTGGACGATCGATGGCAGAGTGCGGCCGACATGCTCTTGAAGTCTGGAAATTTTAGTTTTTTTTTACCTGGCGGACCCGGTTGGCCTATTAATCAACTATAAAATTTTTTACATTGTTTTTAGTACGTTTTAACTATCCTTAAAGTAGAAAAACTTTCAAAAATTTAGGAAAGGTTGAACATTTGGACATTTTGGGTCGAAAAAATGAATTTTTCGATCTAAAAGTAAATTTTTAATGAAAAAATTGTAAAGTTTTATGCTAGCGATAATTGAAAACGATTAGAAACGCATCCGCTATTCAAAATAAGGTAAGCCCGGGCCGAAAAAACGTCGAAGGCGAATCCTAAAAAATCCAAAATTGTCTAGTTAGTAGCTTTTAGCAGCAAAGGGTCTCTGCTACATTGCCCCCCCCCCGGCCCTCCGCCTACCTGTACAAAGCAAGACTGGGGTCATGGTCGAGGATTCGAACACTGTCCGTCACTCGTTCGGCCACTAGAAACATTCATTTCTCTCGTCAAACTGCGGTGAAACGGTTCTGGACTGTTAGCGGGGGGTCCACTGTATTTACTTTATAGTGTTTCCGGTAGTTTTTGGTTGCTAGAAAGTTTTAAACCATATTTTTGAGGTTTTATGGTCATTTTCCATACATTTTTGACCAAAGAATCAAAAATTTCGAAAATTTGTACTATTTTTAGATCGAAAAGCTATGCAAAATGCCATAAAAATGGTTTATATTTTGTTATGCGGCTTTAGAGAAGCACAGGGAAAAATTTGGCCCCCCGCTAACAGCCCAGAACCGAATTCAGGCGCAACTTACAAAGCCGACAACGAGATTCGAGTTCCTTCGAACGCTGCATCCTCTAAACACTGGAATTACGGTTCTAATTTTCTATTTGTGCCGATTACACGTACTTACGTCCTATTAACACACCCATTCAATTAATTTTTCAAAAATCGCAACGATATTCGCCTCAAAAATTCTCAAAAAACACCTTTTCACGAAAATATTTATTAACAGCTAGATAAATCAATCAACAAATCAACAGCAAGAAAAAACTATGCTAAAGGAACAATGTGTCTAGATGGACCCGTTTGCGAGAGAAAACAAAAAAAATAAAATGAGATGGAAACGAATCAGGCGGTCGCGGCCTTCTTCTTCCCTTCGACGGCTTCAATCTGATCGTTGTCGTCGGCGCGCTTCTCCCAGGTGAGGCGACTCTCGAAAAAGTTGAGCTTCTCCTCGCGCGATTGCAGCGCGGCCAGCTCCGCCTCCACATCTTCCAATTTCACCTAAAAATAGGTGGAGATGCGGGGGAAAGAGAGTTTTTACCTTTAGAAGGAGACGTTCAGCCTGCGCTCGCACCAGGCTCGTCCTTTTCTCGGCCCACTCGGCAAATTCGGCTTTTTGTTGGGCCATCAGCTGCTTCTCCGCTTCCGGCTGGACAGTTTGAAGCGCCTGAAAAACCCATGTTCATCTACTGGAAATAAAACTGACCTTGAAGAAGACATCCGAGAATAGCCCCACATCCGCTTTTCCCTTCGAGCCGAGCGTGCTCTAGAAAAAACAGTCAAATAACAATTTAGACGCCTACAAGAGTGGCCTGTTGATGGGTGGAGGGGACAGCTTCGGCTCCTTGCGCCTTGAGGTGGGCCTCGATTTGGGAGACGATGAACTGAGCAACAGCCCCGTGCACAGAGCCCGATTGCACGAGACGAGCCGTTTCCTTATCACTGAAAAAACGGCATTAATAAGTGATAAATTACGTACTCTTTAGCCAGCTGAGCGCCAAGGGCAATGGCCGATCGTCGTGTCGCGTCATCGATCTCCTTCGTATCCCTCGCCATCCAGCGCAACGTCTTTCCCACCAATACCTCCGCTTCCACCACGTCAAAATGCCCGTCATTCCACTCGTTTTTCAGCCACGGGAATTTGAACGTGCGCTAAAAATGGAAAGTTACTTTGTATTACAACTACCGGAAGTCCCAGAAAAACCCTGTAGCGGCCCGGAGGAGTGGCCGATTTTAACGATTTTGGTATCTATCGAAAGCTCTCGACGAGCTGAGGGGGTTCGTGCTCTCCGGTTTTCAAAATTCCCAATTTTTTTTTTGCTGATTTTTGACATTTCTCGTGCAAAATTTACGTTTTTCTCTAAAAAACTGGCAATTTAATCGTATTTTCGCAAATGGCTTCAAAAAAGCAGTCGCATGGCCGTCGCAAAAGACGTGAAAATTCATAAATTTCCATGATTCCGACTCCATGAATTCCAAATTCCATGACAACCCTTTCATTTGGCAAGCAGAGGAAATTTTTGATGGGATTTCCGTTTCGCAAAAATTCGGAAATTTTGAAATCGAAGAGCATGCACCTCCTCAACTCCTCGGGATCTTTCGATAGACACCTAAATCGTAAAAATCGAACGCTTTTCCGGCCCGCTACAGTGGTGGTTTTTTTAGGAAACAAAGCAATACCATATCATCCTCATTGATGTCCTCCTCTTCGGCTTCCGCCTCCACTTTCATCGGCAACGTCCGCTCCTCCGCCGGCAATTCGGACCACCTAAATTGGATGTCTTTCAACTATTTCGTTGCATACTTGGCGACAGCATACAAAGACAACAGATTGAGAAGACTGTTGTCCGTCATCTCCTGCAGCATCACCCACGTGGCCAGACGGGCAGCGTCTAAAACAAAAATTAAGCAATTATCCTCAAGCCCTCACTCTGAGTATTGCCCTGCTCCAAAAAGTGGTCGATGAGCAGACAGGCCGAGTGTTCGTTGGGGAATACGCCGTAGTTGATCTGAAAACAACGGGATTGAAGAATTACCGAAATATTGGGAAGCCGTCATTAACTCGAAAATCTCCGAAACTGGAAGTTTCTCGTTTTCATAATCTTTCTAGTAAAATACAAATAGATTTTAACTAGAAAAACTATCCAAAAACCTACAAAAAGATTTTTTTTTTAATTCGAAATTTTGGTCAAAACATCGCTATTTTTTGCATTTCTTAATAAAAATTTGTAAAATTTTTACGTTTAGGAGTAAGAAACAGTGAAAAACACTTCAGCTATTTATATCCAATGATTTGTACGAGCAAGGGACGTACGGAATTACTGGGAAAATTTCCGCCCTCGCTGACAGCCCAGAGCCGTGAATTTTCGAGATAACCGTAAGAAATCCGAAATATTACCGGATCATCGGCCAGCTGGAACACTTGATCGGGTTGATGCTTGAGCAGCAGCCGCAACAGCGCGTATTCCGTCGACGGCAACAGGTCGGCGGCCGAGGGGCTGTGGCGCAGCTTGTACACCAGCTCGGTCACATCGTCCACCTGGAAACATCAGCATGATAAGCCTGATCAGAAACCAGAAAACCTGATCCTTGTGCTCAGCTATACAAACCGCCGCATCCACGTCAACAGCGCTGAAAAACACACAGTTTAAAGGTAAGCAATCGAAGGGTTTTACCTGCCGACACCGCCTCCAATAAACTTCTTTTGCACCGTCGCAATCCATTCGTAGTCGCCGCCGAGGCCGAGCCTAAAAAAAGCAGGTTCTTATGCATTATCGGGGGGGGGGGAATTTACCCCTGTAAATCTTCTAATAATGCTTTTAGGAAAATATAACCATATTTCAACTAGAAAACCCATCTAAAAACTCCAGAAAACTCGAAGTGAATGTTTTGAGCAAAAAAACGACCATTTTTAGTCGAAAAAATCGGGATTTTTCACATTTTTTGATGGAATTTGTGTTTAAAAATCAGGCTTTACGTCTAAAATAGTAAAAAACTGTTTAGAAACACTTCCCCTATCTAAATTAGAAAAATTGGATCGGTAGAAAAACTTTTTTCTGCTAGTAGAAAACTAGTAAACTAATAGAAAACGGTAGACGTTTTTCAAAAAAGCTCTCCCCCGATAATGCAAAAAAACCAAAAAGGATTTTCTAGGGGTAAAAGCGGCTTACTTCTGGAGGTCCTTGTGCCGGCCGGCCCACGTTTCATCGAGGGCAAACGCGCTGGACAGCAGCGTTCTTCTAAAAAAAAAAGGTAAGAAGCAGCATAGTAAATCCTTGCCTAGCCAAAAATACGCTAGAAGCGCATCGGGAAAGCCGTGCCGGCGCCAGCATTACCTGGAATAATAATGATAAAAATCGGCAAAACATAACTTCAATTAAAAGAATTAAAAAAAATCCCAATAATCATTTGTCAGATATAGGTTTTTGGGGTTTTTACAACCGCGCCTAGTCTCAGTTTCTTTTACATATAACAGAAAATTTATTGCAAATCGGTACATACAAAAAATCACAACAAAGTACAGAAAATATTTACAAGTTTTCAGATCAGATTGACGCCCGAGACGACAGAATCGAGAAGCGGCCCGGCGAGCAGCTTGGAATGCTGGAGTCGATGGTAGCCGTCTTCGTGCTTCTTGTAGACAAAGCTGGAAAAGGGATGCTTTCGCATTATCGGGGGGGGGGGGGGGCAAAACCAAAACTAACTTTATTTTAAGCGAAAAACAATTAAAAAAACTTATAAACCTTATTATTTGCAATTTTTGTTGAAAAAAGGCCATTTTTGACCAAAATCATCGTTTTTTCTACTTAAAGGGATGCCGACGGCATAGTCAATCGGTTACGCGCTGGAAAGAAAATGTCTCTGCGCCTCTCCCCAGGGCGCGCTCTCTGCCCTGTTGGCTACTTGCCAATTTGTTGATGGGGGGGGGGGGGATCGACACATGCCGTCGGCAGCCCTTTAACGTACTAGTCAGTATTTCAATCGTGTTTTTAGTGAAAGTTAACTCAATTTAAGCAAAAAACAATTCAAAAAAAAAACTCCTAAACATTTTAATTTGAAATTCTGGTTGAAAATAGACCATTTTTGCTCGAAAACTCTATATTTTTATATTTTGTAATCAAAATTTGTCAATTTTTACGTTTAGGAATGATAAAAACCGTTTAGAAACCTTTTCTCTACCCTTAAAAAAGTATACCGAGAAAAGCCGAACGGGACTTGTTGCTGATGCGCCGACTTCAGGTGCCGTGATAGCGAGGTGCCACTCGGGTATTTCTTGGGGCACCAGTCGCACGCGTAGTTCTCCACGTTCGAGGCCTGAGGATTAGAGGGTGGATTGAAACACAAATCGCGTTTTACCGGCTCGTGCTCGCGCTTCCGGTGGCTCTCCAACTGCTTCCTCCACCTGAACACCATCTCACAATCCGGGCACTTCAGCGCGGGCTCCCTGAAAACTGGTATAACAAGCGGAAAATTTTTAAGAGCACCTATGGACGGTCATGTGGTTGTTGAGCGTCTCGGCGTCGGCGAGAATCTTCTGGCAAATGGAGCACTGGAAGCAGAGCTTGGAGGCGTGTGTCCGTTGGGAATGTCTGAAAGTGGACCGTGCCCCGGTTCTTTCGCATTATCGGGGGGGACCAACGTTTTTCTAAGGATCCATTTTGCACTGCTTTTACTATTCCTAATAGCAAAAACTTTACGAATTGAGCCTGAAAAATCCAAAAATCACAGATTTTTCGACCAAAATGACCGATTCTTTACCAAATTTTCGACGTTTGCCAATTTTTTGGAAGTTTTTCTTTTAAATATAATTGTCATTTACTATTGAACGTAAAATGTGAAAACTTTACCAATTTTGACTTTCAAACGATCTAAAATTGCGATTTTTAGCTGAAAAATCGCCGATTTTGACGGAAAATAGGCTTTTCGAAAACGTTGCAAAATTTTAGATGCTTTTTCAGTCGAAAAATAGTTCAATTTTACTAAAACACTACGCCTATCAGGTATTTGACATTTCTGGGCTTACAAAAAACAATTTAGTCCCCCCGATAACGCGAAAGAACCGGTGTTACCTCCTCAACTCGTAGTCCGACTCGAACAGCACCCCACAATCCGGGCACTGCGCCTTCGCGAGGTGGCCGCGGTGATGGATTTGGAGGAGTCGGGTGGAGGCGAACGATTTGTCGCACACGGTGCATTTCTGGAATGGATTTTAGGCTTCAAAAAGCCTGAAGTGAATTTTATTCTGATCAAAAACTGATTTCGAAACCCGGTAAACTAACCAAATCCCCTTCCGCCACCCTCAGCATGTGATCAAAGAAGGAGGCGGTCGTGCAGAAGAAGCGGCCGCAATACGGGCACGCCACCACCTTCTCGCCGGTGTGCCGTTGCATGTGCTGTCTGAAAGGCGCTTTTTGCGCATTATCGTAGGCAGGCTATTGTAAAAATGTAGGCTAAAAACACAAAAATTCAGATTTTTCGATCAAAATGACCGGTTTTTGACCAAAATCTTGCTTAAAAGTTTTTCTAAGGTTTTTGTTACCGTTTTTAAACTTAAAAGATAGTTAAATTTACTCAAAAACTATTAAAACAGTTAATATTACGTTACCAGACATTTTTGAACTTGAGAAACGCCGTGTGAAAACAGCGAAATTCAATTCTAACGTTTTTTGCCACCTACCTGAAGCAACTTCGATTTGGATTCCGGTAGTCGCAGCCCTCCCAGCCGCAGTGAAATTCTGCCCGTTCTTCGCGCTAAACAAAAAAAAAACTCCGAAACTGCCTGAAATCTACCACAATTCGTGTTGCGTCGCGTAGATGCCCTTTGACGTGCTTGATAAACGTGTCCATCTCTGAGAATTGGATCTAAAACGGTAAAAAAATAAGATAAAAGAGAAACGTTACCCCACAATTGCCATATCGGCACTGCACCGGGTCCCCATTGTAGCTGATCGAGAACATCGCGGGGAAAGAGCACCTAAAAATCTATATAACAAAAAAGAAGAATGCCGCTACCTCCCGTACGCCTTGAAGAAATCGTCCTGCACGAGCCGTTGCAGCCCTTCCAACGCCAATAATGCCTAAATTTGAGGTCAATAGAATTCAAATTTCGCACATGATGCAGGTGGAGGGCCTTGTGGGAGCAGTAGCTTTGATAGCTGCTCAGTTGCAGCATGCAGCCGACGATTTGGCAAGGGAACGGCACTGGAAAAGATGATAGCAAAATTTGTGGCTGTAGTCATACCGAAAAATGGGTCGCGATGGTCGTTGAAATGGGCGGTAAAAGTGGCCGCATCCGGTCCCGTCCAACCGCATCCACTCCAAAGGCACGAAAACTGCAATAATAAAAGCTACTTTTTGGAAAAAACTTTTTAAAGTTTAATTTAAACTCGTAAAAAGCATAGTTTTTTAATGGATTACGCTCGAAAAAGAGAACAGATGGGCGCAAAGAGGTGCAAAACGTAATTCTTTTCAAAATCGTTTTAAAAAGCACATTCTTATCTTAGCGTTTTTGTTTTTCCATCCATTCTAGGATAGTTTGCCGCGCTGAGCTCGGATTTTCGTTCTAAAATCGACCTTGCTTTCGTGTTTTCGACGTTGTTTAGCGAGCCCAGCACGCCAAACTACCCGAGAATCGGCGAAAAACCGTCGGAAATCGGTGGAAAACAGTGCCAAGTAAAAAATCTTGGGGTTAACTGGTTAAAAACTTACACCCGGGATGCCATTTTCGTCGAGAAACACCCAGGAACCGTGTGGCGGCAGCGAACTCGTGCTCTGTGCTGAAAAATATTACTTTTGCACGCAAAAATGGCCCGATAACCTGGTTCCGGTTGTTGGGCGTAGGGGCCCGGCTCGATTTGGTGGTGGGCCCGTTTCATCGGCGAATCTCTTGAAGCCCAGGGCCCAAAGCCGGCAATATTGGGCCCCAACCCCTCGGCGGCAAGACACTCGCCAGAACGGATGGGCTGGCGCGAGGGGGGCCCCTTTGAAAAAGCCTGTGAGCCGAATTCCATGTCAAAACCGGTTGCGAATCTGCAAAGGGAAATTGGCAAATTCTCGAAATTCGCGCCTTTAAAAATGCTCAAAACTAGTATTTTTGGCCTCTAAGATCTTCGCTTTGTCACAGCTTTACCACTAGCTTAGCTTTGTTCAAGCTCAGTTTGGCCAAGCTTCATCTTGGCTTAGCTTAGGAGTTGAGTATTGCCCTGGATTAGCCGCAAAAAAACTGACCAAGTAGCTCAAAAAGATTTCCAGCCATTTCGCATACCGCCATTTCGCATAATTGCATTTCGCATAATTTTTATTCCGCATAACGCTGATTTCGCATAACGCTTATTTCGTATAACGGTGATTTCGCCTAAACGTCATTTCGCATAACGATCATTTCGCATAATTTTCATTTCAGCTAACGACCATTTCGTATAATTTTGATTTCGCCTAACCGCCATTTCGCATAATTTTCGCCATTGGCCGCCGATGGTATATATAACTCTAGCTTAATATTCAGCAATCGATGAAAAACAATCTACAAGCGCGGTTTTTTGCGCTCTTCTGGGCAGATATCCCAAGCTTGCTCAAAATCCATGACCCATGAGGTGTACGTCTGTTTTGAGGGGCTTGGCCAAAAATCCTACGTTGTAGATAGTATCCATGTGTAAACTCGCAAATCTGACCGCAAGTCTAGGTCAAAAGCATTACATTGATCCCAGATGCGGAATCTGCGTAAATGGTAGCTAGGCATTTCGATTGTCTGATACCGTGACTGCACTTCATATCATCAAAAACGCCCTGTTTTGCTCTTGGTTGCCACTAACTAGAAAATATGCGAAATAAACGTTATGCGAGATCATCGCTAGGTGAAATGAAAATTATGTCAAATGATCGTTATGCGAAATCACGGTTCGGCGAAATGACCGTTATGCGAAATCGCCGTTAGGCGAAATAAGCGTTATGCGAAATCATCGTTATGCGAAATCACCATTATACGGAATAAAAATTATGCGAAATGCAATTATGCGAAATAGCGTTATGCGAAATGGTAATTATGCAAGGTAAAGAAATACCCTCAAAAATGACCCAAACTTTTTTTTGCCCGTGCTAAATTCGCTATTGCCTTTGGAAACGCATAGAACGTGCGCGAATGAACCACGAGTCTGCAGAAATAAACGAGATTTTTTTGGGTTTTCAGGTCACTCATTTTGTCGTCCTCTACTTGAAAAATTTGAGAAATTCTCTGATCTAATCCTTTTTTTTCAGCTCCCGCCGGCCATCCGATGCGGAAAATCAAACGTGAGCCGTCGTTCGCTCCCTCTAAATAATATCGTTCAGGGCTCGAAGACCTCGTGAAGAAGGCTGAACGCGATGGGAACGCCGAGAAGCAAATGGATCTCCTGTTAGACCTTGGGAATGAGCACAAGGCCGATGGGAACAAGGAGGCAGCCATTCTTCAATTCAAGGAATGCCTGAATATGGGTGAGCACTTGTTTTTAGAGCTATTTGGATGGCTCCAAGTGCTCTAAAAAAGTCTTGCGCGATCGGCTTGGCGAAGAAAACAAGGTTTCCGGGCTAGTTTTTCGTGTGGTGAGTTCGAAATACATATTTTTTCGACCGAAAATACTTAACTTTAGACCACAAATTACAAAAATTCGACTCGTGAAAACGTTTTTTCGCGTATTTTCAGCGACTTGGAACCCTTTTGCGGCTTATACGCTAAACTTTAGAGTCTAAAGTCAAGTTCTTGTCGCCTAAAATCGAGTTTTTATGGTCTGAAAGCGTTTAAAGAGGCGAAGCAATTAAAATATGGCTTAATAAAACAATTTTTATAGCATTTTAAGCTGTTCTTAAGTGAAAATTACTTTCAATAGAATTAAAAAAGTTTAGAAAACGTTTGTTTTTGGTCAAAAACATATGAAAAATGAAATGGTCCGAAACTTCTGATTTTTCAGATTTTCCGATAGAGTTTGAATGGATGTGGTCGTGATCGGCACCGAAAGCTCCGAAATCACCCAAAAACCTGGCCTTTCGAGAAGCTAAACGCGAATTTCCGCGATCAACAAAGCCCTAAAACTCGTTTTTTTTTCAGCCCGAGCACGCGGTGACAAATTCAACCGATGCCTGGCCTCGCGCGCCATCGCCGAAGTCTCCGCCGATATGGGTTTGTTTTTCGAAAATTTGTCGAAGCAGCTTTTAAACAAAACAACTGTCAGACAATCTGACGGAGGCGGAGAAGTATGCAAAAGAATACCGCGACACGGCACGGCAATCCGATTGGCCATCGGAGATTCAGCTCTCCCTACACACCAGCGGATACGTGAGTCGATATTGTTAACGTCGTCAAAATCTGCTTTCAGGTGTATCAAGTGGTGGCGGCCATCCGGAAGGAAGGAGATGAATTTGTGAACCTTACACGAAAGGTTGGGCCTTGTGTTCAGTTCAATTTCCGGATTTTCTAGGGCATCGACTGGGCCGAGCAGAGCTTTCGATATATCCGGGACAATCGACAGTTGATAGACGAATCGAAAGAAGGTAATGGATTTCACGGGTTCCCCGACATTTGCGGCCCAAAAAGTGGTTTTTAAAACGATGCCATGCCCATTTCAAGATGTTTTCAAAGCCGAAAAATAGGCTCGGTACCTGCCTCCGTGTTAGCGGAGGAGCAACTTTTTTTGCGAGGGCGATTTAGGGACGAAGCAATGAAAACAAATTTTAATTTCATTTTACACTGTTTTTCCTCTAAAATACCTTTAAATAAAATTAGAAAATGTTAGAAAACTTACTTTTTTTAGTAAAAAAAATAAACGACCGAAAACTGGTCATAAACTTCGGACTTTTATGTTCCAATAAAGTTTTAATTCTGATTTCGTGGTCGTGAACTACGAAAAACATTATTAAAACGTATTTTAATTAATTCCTAGGCATCTACTAGCTCAGCTAAAAAAATTTGTTTTGCTGCCCCGCTAAAAATTGCTCCGCCGCTAACACGGAAACGTCATAAATTCTAAAACTAAAACGGAAGCTGTTCGGGGGAAATTTCTGCCGCAAATGTCTTGTCAACGTTTCCTGTCGGTCTCACTTCAAAAATGGCCTTTTCTAGACGTTGATCGAGGCGGCGACTCGGTGACGCGGCAGGCCAATCTCCACTCGATGCTCGCCCTGCTCTACGGCCAAATCAGCGAGAAGGAGCGGGCGACGAGGCACGCACAGGCCGCCTTCAATTCGGCTGGGTGAGCAGGCGAAAAAAAAACGTCAGATTTCATAATGCCGAATTGAAAGTTAATTTTTTTTAATTTGAAACTTCAGTCAAAAACAAAAATTGTCTTGGTGAAGACTTGCAGATTGGCATCCATAAACCTTGTAAACCTTCGGGGTAATGAAAATTCCGCATTATAAAATACGCAGCTATGAAATTCTGCTTTATGAAAATAAGCCGGGCGGGCTGGGCGGCGGGCGGTCGCGTCGAAATCTTTCGAAAAATTTGCTTTTACCGCCCTTGAGCAGATCGAGGAACGTGACTATTTGGCGTTCCTCATTTTCAGCGGTTTTTTCAGCGTACAGAATTTTTTTTTGTGAGAATCGTTTTGCAACTGAAAATGCGGCAAGCTAGCAGCGATTTTTTGGGAATTTCGGCGCTTGATTTGAGGCGTAAAAACCTTTTTTTTAGTATGTTTTTAGGAAGCGCAAGGAGTACGACGTGATGTTCAGCGCCCTGCTCAACCAGTTCGACTGGCCCTGGTCGAATAAGGTGAAATCCGGCTCAGAAAAGGGCGCTTTCGCATTATCGGGGGGCAACTATTTTTCTAAGGATCCTAGGTTTCAAATCTAAAAGCGGAAGTGTGTTTTTTTGGTTTCTAAACGATTTTGTTTTTTTTACGATTTTTGAAGGTGAAACACTACGAATTTTAATTAAAAAATACAAAAATATCCGTTTTTCCGTCAAAAATTGGCGATTTTTGACCAAAATTTCAGCAAAAAAATTTCCAATTTTTTTTGAAACCTGTTTTTCGCTTAAAATCGAATTTGATTTTACTAAAATACAGTTAGAATAATTATTACGTTAATAGGCATTTCTGGACTTTTAGGAAAAACTTATCCACCCCCCGGTATTGCAAAAGAACCGAAAACAACTCGGAAAGTACCGGGATTATTTTGTATTTTTAGATGGAGCTGGCGAAACAGATGGGACAAGCGGCCGTCCATCTCAAAGCCAAGGAAAAGGCGCTCGCGCGCTTTCACTGCGTCAAGGTATTTTTCTGAATTTTAATCCATATTTTTTTTATTCAGGCTCTGCTCTACTACAAGGGGGATCTGAAAGAGGCGCAACGGGTCTGCTACGAGTTGATCGTCCACGTCAAAGAGCTAGGAGATGACCAGAGGGAGGCGCAGAAGACCATTGTGGCCGGTAGGGCAATTTTTTGAGTTTCTCAAAGTTTTTTTTGTAGTATGGCGTCTACGGAATTGCATCGAGGCGGCCGCGGCTATGGAGGCCACAATGCCCATCAAGGCTGGAAAATACTACGAAAAGGTAATTCATTTCGCGAGGACGGCTTTGCTCCTAATTTTTTTCTTAGGGACCAATTTTTAAATATGGATAGCGAAAGTGTTTATAAAATTTTTGACGATTCCTAAACGCAAAAATTTACATATTTTTATGACAAAATGCACAAAAAAAAAGGTTTTTACCAACAATGGCCGGCTTATGACTGAAATTTTGAATTTCGAACATTCTGCGCAAGAATGGGAGCCGAATTTTTTGTCGAAACCTAAAAAAAACGCCTATTAACTTGATAAGAAGTATTTTAATAGTGTTTATTGTGAAATAGAATTATATTTGAACGAAAAACTGGCAAAAAAATTTTAATGTCGAATTTTTGGTCGAAAATCTTTTTTTATATATATTTTTTCATACAAATTTGTAAAGTTTACTTTTAGCAATAGTCATAAAACTGCTTAGAAACACTTCCGCAATTTATATTTGAAAAATTCGATACTAAGAAAAAAGTTGCCCCCCCCCCCGATAATGCAAAAGAACCCAGTTCGTAATCCAGTTCTTGGAGACACTTTGTAAAAATTTGTTTAGATCGGCGACTACCTGACGGGGCTTCGGATCTTGCCGCTGGCCACGAAGTACTACGCCAAGTTTCTCGAATATGCGCCGCGGGGGCCCCGGAAAATGGAGGCGTACGAGTCGTTGGCGGCCAGCTACTTGGTGCGTATCTTTTTTTGGGGGGAAGAATTCTATGATTTTAGGATGCCGCCAAGTATGCGCAACAAGAGGAGGAGCGCGCAAAGTTTGTGCGAGCCGGCCAGGAGGTGTGCGCGCGATGGTTGGCCGAGTTGGGCAAGGAGGGCGGAGAGGTGGGTGTCGCTTTCTCTCTCTCTCTCTCTCTCTCTCTCTCTCTCTCTCACGTCGGGTTTCTTTCGAAATTTCGAAGACCAGAATGCCGAATTTCATAGTGTCGAGATTCCAGAATGTCGAAAATTACATGGACTAATTTTCCTGGAAAACCCCCGAATTCAATGCAAAAAAATGTCGAAATCCTGAAGTTCCACATTATGACATTTCGACGTTACGATAGCAAATGTTCTCTCTCTCGCTCTTTCTCTCTTTCTCTGGCTCTCTCTCGCTCTCTTTAATAAAATCCTCTTTTTCAGACGGATTCAGCCCGCGGGACCCGCTATCAACTTGACCTCCTCACCGGAATCTCGATCGGTGAAGCCCGCCTCAAACTCGAGCAGCTGAAGCCGATCTCCGAGAAGGAAATGGTAGCCTCAATCCCCCCTTTTTAAACAACCTATTTCTAGGAAAATGCGCGTGACGCGTTCGCCAGCCGATTCGAGGGCGGTCCCCCGGCCAGCGATGACGAGCTGGACACGGAAGAGTGTGAATGTGGCGAATGCCCGCTGGATAGCCCCGATGCGGAGACGATGTGGAAGAGCATTCTAGGTACAAACATTTCAGAGAGGAATTAAGAAAAATAGACGTACCTATTTGTAAAAAAGCAAGGGATTTCGTTGCGAAAAATGTCTAATATTGGCGTAAAAACGGCGGGCCTTGCAGAAAATTCGACTTTTTACGCCCGTGTGAATTGTGTATCGTAATGTTCTAACGCATTCCTTCTTAGTCATCACTGCGTCAATTTTAATAATTTATAAAGCTAAAATGACTACAATCGTCTGAGGAACGGCGGCGCTTCGGCTTCTGTCCCTCGTTCGTCGTGAAAATGCGTGAAGTTCCGAATTCTGACACCATTTCTGGGATGCTCGGGCGATTCTGAGCATTTTTCCGCTGTTTCGGTTTTCAAAATTGGCGCAGGCATCACCAAAAATCGAAGAATGGAGGGTATTACGACATGTAATCCACGCGGGATCAAAAAGGCCATTTTTCTCTCCTAAAAATTAGTTTTTTCTCAAAGAGATCATCCTTTTTTTGCAGCGAATTCAATTTGTCGATAGTCCTAGGAAGTATACCTTTCCTTTTTTTTGACAAAAATAGGTTCGATTCCTCCCCATTATTGTGGCTTTTTAGACGAGGCCGCGGTGTACGCGCGACGCGAGAAGCAGGACCCGCGGGGCGAGACGGAGATGCACAAGGCGGCCCGTGACGCTGATGTCGACACGCTGCGGAAGCTGATTGGATGGGTGAGTAGTGCGAATGGGCGAAGGGGTTCTTTAGGATTTCCGGGGGGGAGTTTTTCTAAATAGCGCATGCGTTTCTAAATCCTACTATATATAAAAAAGTAGTGTCTGTGTGTGTGCCACTTTGCATGCAACTTCCGTCACCATGTCCGGGGGATATCTCAATAAGGGATGAATTTTATGGCACGTATGATACGTCATTAGGCGCGTAATGGCTCTGGGATGACTGCACGCTTATCAGATTTTGCAAAATAAGCTATTTTCGACATTAAATTTAAGTTTTTGTAAAATTTTCGGCAATCCTCTTTGTTAGCAAAAATCAGCATAAACCGGAAGCGGCAAGAGCCTACATAATCAGCTAGAGAGGGTCTTTTTTCATTTTTCGCATCGAAATTCGAGAGACAAATGCAGAGTGAAGAACGTTCAGGGGTTAGACGGGGCCAGGGTTGAAAAGTCGCGAAGCGGCTTTTCAACCCTGGTGGTTTTTAACTAGTCCTGAGCATAAAAACTACCCACATTTTAATTAAAAAATTTAATTTTAGGGCGAAAATTCCTATAGAACCTTTAGGATTAGCGGGGGGGAAAGACCCAAAATGACTAACTTTTCGACTTTTTCAAACATTTTTTCTAACTTTTTTGAAAGGTTTTTCTACTTTAAATATAGTTAAAATTTACTAAAAACAATGTGAAAACACTTTATATTTGATTAATAGGTCAACCGGGAAAACCAGGAAAAAAATTTGGTTCCCCCCGGAAATCCTAAAGAACCGGCGAAGGATACCGTATTCTATACTTCGCCGCCCACCCGGGGTGGGCCCCCCCTTGGGGGGACGGAGGGGGGACTGGGAGGGGGGACAGAGGGGGGATCGCCCAGGGGGGACCCCACCCCCCTCCCTATAGGTCTATAGAAGTCCCCTGAGACTTTTTGAACTTAAATTTTGTTCACCATTTTAGAACTAACTTTAATTTGACAATGGTTCACGTGGAAAAACCATTAACAAGCCTATCCCTAAGCATTCCCCTCTGTGCTACACTCGGGAAATTTTTCTACAAATAGCGTTTAGGCTTGAGACAATTTCAAAATCTTCTGTTTTGGTTTTTTGCGGTGCTCCTGAGCACCTTGAGAATTTTGAGCTTCTAAAAATTGATCTAACTACTCCAAAAGCACGAAAAATTCGTAAATTGCAAGAATTTGTATTTGGCGAAGATTGCTTCGCTCTAATTCTGCCGGGATCTCAGCAATTACGCGCCCTGAAGCGGAATTTCCCCTCCATTTGATGACGGCGTTTTTTCTAGGGCTGCAACGTTGACAAGCAGGACAACGCCGGCTGGACGCCCCTCCACGAGGCGGCCAACGTCGAGATTGTTCGGTGGGCTCGGTTTTTTTGCAGTTCAGGATCTCCTTTAGAATACTGCTCGATGCCGGCGCAAAGGTCGACCCGATGGCGCGGGATTCCCTCAGCGATGTGGGGGCTTTTTTTCAAGGAAACGCAGATCTGTTTGTTGTAGCAAATGACGGGCGGGAACAACACGCCGTTGATGAGCGCCTGCTACTACGGACACCTCGAGACGATCGAGCTGTTGTTGCAGTCAGTTTTTGGCCAATTTTTTGGTCGGATAATGGAGGAAAAAGAAAAATCGAGCATTCAATTGATTTGCTATCGGTTTCTTGAAAATCATTTTGGCGAAATTTAGGTGCAAATTTGCAAATTGTTTAGATGAATAATCCAGACGAAAAAGACACTCAAATTTTGGCTAAATTGTTTTCGGTAACCCCATCCAATTGCACCATCAAAACTGAATTCCCCCGTTTGCAGGCGCGGCGCCTCGGTGACGAAGCGCAACGAGAAGGGCTGGACGGCGGTGGACTTCCTGAAGAAGGCCCTCAAGTCGCCGGAACTCCCAGCAAGCGGCAACGAGGAGCGCGCCCGGAAGCTGATCGAGCGCATGGAGCAAGCGCAGCGCAAAGATGCGTTTTTCCCGCCTATGCCTACCGGTTTAATAATATATAGTGTATTTTTGCAGTGTTTTTGATTGCAATAAGGTTATTAAAAATTATTTCAAAAGTTATAAAATTGGTCATTTTGCTGCTTTTTGATAGATTTTGACTAAAAAGTCCAAAATTTCGGAATTTTCAAATTTTTTATAAACGTTTATGTCTAAAAAACTAGAAAATACCATAAAAATGGGGGTCTACTTTGTTATAGGACGGTAGGGGAAAAGGATTACTGGGGAAACTTGTTTTCCCCTGTGCTGGCCCCCCCCCCGCTAACACCCCAGTTCCGTTGATTATGCAAAATTTCTTTTTTCAGCCGGCTACTCCGCCTCCAACCCGGCGCCCATCGATCTCACGTCGTCGTCACAAATGCCGGCAAGAAAGGCGGTGTCTGGGCGAGGGAAACAGTCGCAGGTGAGAGAGAGAGAGGGTGAGAGAGAGAGAGAGCGAAATAGAGCTAAAGGGTTCCGAATTATGTTCTTTCGCATTATCGGGGGGGGGGGGATGCAAATTTTTTTGTTTTAGTCGAGAAATGCTCTGTAAGTATTTTTATAAGTTTTTTTTTCAAATAAAACTATATTTTTAATTAGAAAAACTATCTGCAAACGATTTTGGTCAAAAACGCGCATTTTTGGTCGAAAAATCGTTATATTTTGTGTTTTTAATGACATTTTGTTAAGTTTTTACGTTATGGATAGTAAAAACAGTTTAGAAACGCTTCCCCCCCCCCCCGATAATGCGATAGAACCGGCGAATTAATTGCCTTGTTTCAGATCTCAACAATGGCCTCCCAACGCAGCTGCAGGAGCACCCAGCGCTCAGCCCCAATCCGCAAGCCAGCAGCAACACGAGAGCGTGCCGGTGATAAGGTAGTTTGTTGGATTAGCTCGTTTTCTAAGTGGCGCCCTTTCCAGTTCGTCGTCCCGCGCGTCACCTCCAGCGACGACGACGACGAGAACCGATGTCCAACTACACAAACCGGTCAGCATTTCTCGTTTTCGCCTTCCGGATTTCTAGTGCTGAAAAATTGGGTACTGGGTGATTAACGGGGGGGGGGGTGGGATTTTTAGATTTCTTTCTAGATTTTTCGGGGGGCGAAATTTTAATTTAAGTTTTAAAAAAAATTTAGAGTTTAAGTTTAGTTTTAACTTCACAGAATTTATACAGCATTTTTGCACGATTTTCGTATATAAAAAGCTTATCAAAAATTGGTACTGGACTGTTAGCGGGGGGGGGGCTAATTTTTGTCATTCCGCCTGCTGATATAATTTTTTTATAGTGTTGTTAGTGGTTTTTGATTGCTAGAAACTTGAAAAATATTTGTAAGAATAGTGAAAAACCGGGAATTTTTACCTTTTTTCGTCATTTTAGTCCATTTTTAACAAAAAAAGCAGTTTTCGTAAAATTTTGTAATTATTTTATGAGTTTTCTAATCTAAAAATTGTAGAAAATGCTCTAAATATTGTAAAAATAGTGAAAATCCGAGAATTTTCACCTTTTTTCGTCATTTTAATAAAAAATCTAAAAATTTTCGAAATTTACAAGTTTTTAATCTTCAATTAAATTTATATGTTGCAGGCCCCCGCACCTCCACGCAGCAGACGCACGACCCGGATTTTGAGGCGTTTGTGGAGAGACGCGGGGGACGCTCCCGTTTCTCGCTGCCCTCATCCTCCCACCATGACACGTCGAGAACATCGGAGCGTACACTACAGTCTGCGAAGAGCATCACGACACGGCCGTCAAGAATCTCCCCACCGCCACGTCTCCACAAACGATCCCATCCCGGCGACGTCGCACTTGATGAGGGCGTTGGCATGGATACGGAACGGCTTCTGTATGGCCGGCTCGATGATCAACCCCTGAAGTGAGTTCGGGGATTTTGGTGCTTTTGCATTATCGGGGGGGAGGAGGAAATTTTTTTGTATTAACTTTTGCAACTTAAGAATAAAATTTTTCAAAAATCGTGTTTTTCTAGAAATTATAAATTCTGTTAAGTCTTTGTAGTAATTAAAATGCCTAGTAAGGTTGAATTTTAATGGTGTTTTTAGTGAAATTTAGCTAGATATTAGCTAGATGGTACTTCTTCATCTTGCATAAACCACTGAATCTTTTTCAACTAATTTTAAATGACAAAATTTTGGTTACAAACCATAAATTTGGCCGAAAAATCTATATTTTTATATTTGGTTGATAAATTTGTAAAGATTTTGCGTTAGATTTTACGAAAAAAAAACATTTTGGAAGCACTTTTGCTATTTATATTGGAAATTGGATCCTTAGAGAAAAGCCCCCCCCCGATAATGCAAAAGAACCGTCTCTTTTCAGCCTCTCCCTCCGCGGCCCAAAACGAGCGCTGTTGATCGACAGCAGCGAGAGCGAGGAGTCGCCGCCGATCCAGCCCGATGATGATCTCCTGATGATGGATTTCGGCCGACCCGACGAGCAACAATCCTTCATGGCGGCCGGCTCGATGTCCCCATATTCCACCGTCACCGAGACGTCCAGGTAATTGTCGCTTCGACTTCAGGAAAATCATTTTGGTTCTGGACTGTTAGCGGGGGGCGATTTTTAGCCGGGCGAAATCATTTTTTGTGTTTTTTCGACCTGTTGATGATATATATTGTATTTTTATCGTGTAGCTTTTGGTTTCTAGCAAGTTATAAAAAAGCTTTTTTAGAAATTTGAAAATTCGAAAATTTTGATTTTTCATACATTTTTGGCCAAATAATCAAAAATTCGATAAAAAATCGATGTAAAATGCGATTAAAATGGTTTCTATTTTGTTATAGGGCCGTAGAGAAAATACAGGGAAAAATTTAGTTCCCCCCCCCCGCTAACAGTCCAGAACCGTTTCGGCTTCAACTTTAGAAAAATCGTTTTTAGGGTCTCGATTCGGAGTAGCGTCGAGCCCTCGCATCCGCCACTTCTGCCATCCACCTCCTCCCCGGCCACCACCACCACCACCACCGCCAACACGTCGCTGAACACAAGCTCCACGCTGACAATGCCCACCTTTGACTCAAAGACGCGCAAGATGACGCTAACGGTACGTTGCCGCGACGCACGCGCGACGCGTTCATCAACGATTACGATCTGTCGTTTAGGTCGAGTACGAGCACGAGAACGGGACGCCGTTGCTGAACAAGGCGGGCGAGCCGATGCGCCACATGATCGCGCTCGACCGGGACACACGAATCGATGCGCTGGCCGAGCACGAGAAGATCAAGGAGGTCGTGACGGCGGCCGGCGGATACAGTTGGCATCATCGGGACGGCGAATGCGATGGGGAATTGTCGCTGGAGCAGGTGGGGAACTGTTTATTTAGATTTCTCTCTCTCTCTCTCTCTCTCTCTCTCTCTCTCTTCGTCATTTCGTTTCTTTCAGCTCGAGGGCCACGAGAATGCGATGAAGTTAAAGTGCCGACTGGCGGCCATTTCGATCGAGGCGTGGTATCGAAGAAGGGCCCGGGCAACGCATGAAGACGTCGAAACATTGCTGCAATCTATCCGAATGACGGGACGATTTGAAGGAGGCAAGGGAATCGCACTGAATAGTCAGGTAATTTTGGATTTTGCGGGACGGCAGGCTAGCAGAGGGCATTTGAGACGGGCAGAAGCCGTTTCGGGTGGAGAACACCTTTTAAAACACCAATTTCCAGATGCTCTTCCACATCGACGGGGCATTACGTGAATTCTCTCTCGGCTGCCCGGCCTATTCACTGCCAAATGCCATCTCGTTGCGCGGGGCCGGGCTGATTGACGCGGCGGCAGAACGGCGACGAGAAGCCGACGGCGGTGGCGACAACCAAGATGTGACGACGTTCGAAAAGTGGCTGGACAGATTGGTGACTACCCGGGAACTACGACTGTCCGCCTGTCGACTCGATGACGTTCATCTCGAGAGGATGGCTACGGTATGGGGGACTTGGGCATTTCTCGGTTCTAGCCTCTTAGCGGGGGGGGGGCAAATTTAGAAACGGCCCTAGAACAAAATATAACGTTTTTATAGCGTTTTACATAGTTTTTGGATAGAAACAGAATCTAAGAATCATAAAAATTTCCGAAATTTTGGACTTTTTTGTCAAAAATTTATGAAAAATGGCAACAAAGTAACATTTTCGAATTTAGAAAATTCATAATTTTTATAACTTTCTAGCTCTCAAAAACTACGAAAACACTATAAAAATGCATAAAACAAAAAATGGTTTTCCCGTCTTGCTAAAAATCCGCCCCCCCGCTAACAGTCCAGAACCCATTTATTAATTTTAGATGGCCGCCAAGAATTCGCATTGGGCCCTGGAGACGCTCTGCCTCGACTTCAACGTGTTCACCGATGGAACGGTGAGGTTTCTTGATTTCGTGTCATCAAGTCTTTAAAAAGCGCGTAATCGATTAGGCGATGAAATTGCAGCTAGCTGGAATATTCAAATTTTCCTGCTGAATCCCTTTTTTCAGCATCTCCGTTCGCTGCTGGCCCACACGCGTGGTCTCCGCCATCTTGACCTCAGCGGTGTGGAATTGTCGGAAGGGCTGGAAGACGTTTTCGATGCAATCACACGTATGTATTCTTTTTTGAACAGTTTTATTGTTTTATTTAGAGCTGGACGAACTGCGGACGTTGGTGTTGTCCGGTTGCCGATGGGTGGACGGGCCGAGGCTGCAGCTGCTCGTCGAACGATGCCCCGAACTTCACACGCTCACCGCGCAGGGGACCGCCGTCGCCGAGCTGTGCATTGATGTTGGTTGTTTTGCGTTTTTAGCGGCTCAAGGGCCTTGTAAAAGTTTCTTAACGGGGGGGGGGGGGGAGAGAATAACAGGGGTGGACAGAAATTTTGTATCTCTAAACGTTAGCCCACCATTTTGCGAGCATTTTCTGCCGCGGCGTTTAATTAATAATTTTAGTAAAGTAATAATAATAAGGAAAAATTGTTTCCACCCCCGTTATTCCCCCCCCCCCCGTTAAGCAACTCTTACACGGGGGCCCTTGGGACAAATTTGGGCGGTATGTGGTGGGACGTACGGCCAGCTAGCGGCGATTCTTTGCGGAAATCGAGCGCCGCGAATTCCAGCCAAAATTCCGACAGCCAAAGTATGGTATTGCCGGGCGTTTTACCCGGAAATGGTTTTAAAAGCTAGGATTTTGGCGTTTTCGGCATTTTATGCGTTTTGAAAATCGCAAATTTCGGCCTTTTGATCATTTTCGAATGCATTTTTGAGCAAAAAAAGAAATTTTTCGAAAGTTTCTAATTTTTTTATGAGCTTTTGATGTCTAAAAACTATCAATAACTCCACGAATAATTTCTTATTTCGTTGTAATGCCGCACGGGAGTACTTGGGAAATCCCCCCCCCCCCGCTAAAAGTCCAGTACCGGCACGGCGTCGAGCAGAGAAAATTGGGGGAAATTGGGGACGTTGCTCGGGTTCAAAAACCTCGGGTGGCAGGCTAGCACGGACAATTTGCGCCTAATCCCCTCATTTTCAGCTGGGAACCGCGCCGTCACTCCGTCTACTCGACATCTCGGCGTGCCGGTTGACGCGCGAGGCCGTCGAATCGACGCTGGAATGGGCCAGCACCTCAGAGGTTCGCCTTTCCGGATAGGGTTCGGTTTTTGCGGTTCTGGACCGTTAGCAGGGGGGCGCATTTTATTTTCCAAAATCAATCAATCAAAAATAGTTTTATACGGTTTGATAATCGAAAATTTTGGGCTTTTTAGTAATTTTTGCAAGAGTTTTTGAGCAAAAATTGAAAATTTTTCGAAAGTCTGATTTTTTTGAGCTTTTGTGATGTTTAAAAACGATAAATAAATTTTTATAACATTTTGCATAGTTTTTGGGTATAAAAACATTATAAAAACGTATAAAGTATTTTTTATAACTTGCTAGCAATGAAAACTGTTAAAAAAACACCATAAAAATACGTAAGCCTCCTAAAAGCCCCCCGCTAACAGTCCAGTACCATGAAATCCACGGTCTTGCCTTGAATATCCTCTAAAGAAGCTTGCTTTTTCCGTATTTTCTATTTTTTTTTCAGGTGGAAAACGTGAACGTGGGTGGAAGCCCGGTCGGCTTGGCCACGCTACGAAGGGTCGTCGATTCGAGGCGTGGAATGGGGCCTCGGCTTTCGCTGGGACTCGTCGGCTGCGCCTTCTATGATGAGCAGCTACGGGACATTCCTTTGGATGAGGTGTGGTTTTTTCTATTTAATTATCTCTCGCTCTCTCTCTCTCTCTCGCTCTTTATCTCCCCCCCTCTCTCTCTCTCTCTCTCTCTCTCTCTCTCTCACCCTCTCTCCTTTTTTTGTCTTGCCCCGATACTGAACTCTCTATTCCAGCTGGGCGACGTGTTCTCGGGACTATGCGACGAGACGGGAGACGACAGCGTCCGCTTCCGCTTATCAACCCGGCTGACGAGGCTGATTGCCGACAAAGACGGGTAAGAGTTTTTGAAACTATGCCCGGGATTGTAGTTTGAATTTCGGCGATTAAAGTGATCATTTAGTGGTTTGACTGTTTTTAAACATTTTCATTTTAGGTCCGTCGCCGAACAGCTGCTCTGCACGTTGTGAATTGACCAATTGTATGGTTGTATATGTTCTCTGTAATTTGTTTGTTTTTGGTTGGTAGTGTCTGTCGTCCACGTTGTGATTTTGCCACGGGTGTGTCATGTCGTTTTCGGGGCATTCTTCGATCAATAAAGTGTCACTCTCCATTTGGCATCAGAAATGATTTTCCGGCTTCACAATGAACGCACCTGATATTTCTCGCAGCAATGATTGCCAGCTTGCCCCTCACCTTTTATCTTTTGGGCAAGGCATTTGTTTTGAAACAATTTCATGGTGGATATAAAACGGTAGGCATTTTTTTAACCCATCGAATCACATCTGCCCGAATTGCATCCCATCGAATTGCATCCCATCGAATTACATGCCATCGAAATTACGACTCATCGAATTACGACTCATCGAAATTACGACTCATCGAATTACGACTCATCGAAATTACGACTCATCGAAATTACGACTCATCGAATTACGACTCATCGAAATTACGACTCATCGAATTACGACTCATCGAAATTACGACTCATCGAAATTACGACTCATCGAATTACGGCTCATCGAAATTACGACTCATCGAAATTACAACTCCTCGAAATATCGGTTTTTGTCACCCAAATTTTTTTCGGACCAAGCCTAAATTTTTTTATGAATAGCGGATGCGTTACTAAATGGGTTTTAACTATTTTTAAGCATAAAACTATACAGATTTTTATTAAAAATTTAATTTTAGATCGAGAAGCGGATTTTTTCGGCCAAGAATGACTAAAATTGGACCGGGCAAAAATTAGTGGTTTTTGAAAATTCGCTTAGCTGACATTTTTATGGGTTGTAATTTCGATGAGTCGTAATTTCGATGAGTCGTAATTTCGATGGGATGTGATTCGCTGGGATGCAATTCGATCAGATGTAATTCGATGGGATGATAGCAAATCAAAACGGTAGTCTCGAGTTTCTCAGGTCGACTTACCGACCTGCAAGGGCCGTGCCGGCCACCTGTCCTTCTTCGCTAGCTCGGGGAGACAGTTTTCGGCCTACGAAGACCCCACGCAGTTCTTGCCCCACTGTAAAATAGATCCTTTTTAGGAGGATCCGCACGGGGAGCCGTGGCACATTCCATCGCCAATGAAATATGCTGAATAATTCATGCGCGTTCATTTTTTGGCCATGAATATCTCCGATTTTATCGACGTCAAAAAAAAAGAAATCGATGTTGCCTACCCCCCGGTTCGACGCGTCTGGAGCGGCCCCCACCCCGCTCGGGGGAAGGGGCTCTCTGCCGTCCCCCCACTTGTTCGCCGTCGTGGTGCAATGGCTAGCGCGGTTGTCCTTGAGATTTTTTTATGGCCGCTTGGCAAGTTCGGTGCCCGTGTGCGTCAACCCGTTTGCTTTTTGCTTATTGACCAGCGCTGACCCCCCGCTACGCGGGGTTTCAGCGCTGGTCTTCTCCCACCCCCACAATTTGAATTTGGAATTTGGAATTTGCATGCAAAATTTGGCTGAATTCCCGGTCGGGCGGTCGGTCGGACGGACGGGCGTACGGACATTAGAAATTTATATATGCTTTTTGCTTATTGATGACTGGTAGGGGGGGTGCTTTTTGCTTCCGGATCGAAGCGGGTTCTCTGTAATGGCAGGGGACACAAAGCGGCACTGAGCCTTCCTCCAAACCATTTAGCACATACATTTTCGGAGCGGGGCTGCTAGCAGAGACTATTTGCGAATCGGAGTCTGCCGTCTGGCCGCTGATCGGTCCCCAAATTTGCCCCGTGTGCATCACAAAAAGCTTGACCCAAATTTTGGCGTCTTTTCCGTTGTCGACTTTTTTTTGGCCTTTCAGTCCTTCGCAATTTCGGCGATTGGGGTGGATTCCGGGGGGAATTTCCCTCAGTGACCCTTATCTCACGATGGCTTTTCCGATTTTTAAATGATCTCTGCTGGCTAGCCCTGCTAGTCTTCTCTATTCTACCCTCGGCCAATCTTCCGAATTATCATCACCTTTCAGGTAACTCTTCCGGGATTTGGCCGTACAGAGCGGACGACCGTCTCGGGCAGGATCCGGCTTCGGGAAGAGGTTGTTTTCTAAATACTTACCTTGACATCTTGGCACTTGAGTATTCGCAGGGGGGACTTTTTAGACTAATTATTAGCCTAGATTTTTTTATATAAACAGCAAATGCGTTTGAAAAATTTTTTTGAACTATTCCTGAGCACACGGACGTTTGTCATTGTAATTCAAAATTTAATTTGAGGCCGAAAAATCGTTTTTTTAGGCGCAAAATCACCAAAATTTCGACCTTTCACATTTTTCAAACTTTTTTCGAGAGTATTCCTGCTTCAAGTATAGTGAAAACTTACAAAAACCATCGAAAAACGCTTTATGTTTGATTACTCGACGAACGTGGACCCATAGGAAAAAGACGGTCTCCCCTGCGAATACTCAAGACTCACACATTTCATTTCCGAGATATACGAAAAATTTTTCAGCTTCTTTGGCAGAAGGAGCCGTGCGAATGGATGGCAGTGTTATCGTCGGAGACGCCGGAAACAGGTTGGCAACCTTTTGACAATTTTCGCCTAGGCAGTTGATTAGCGGATAGAGGGAGCGCTTGATTCCATCCAGATTCCGGATTTTGGCCTTACAGCCTTACGGCTTTTATTCGATCGAGATGGCTTGATTTGAGACTTCAATATGGCTAGGGCTTGGGTCTTTTACCCACTTCCCAACGATTCGAGCGTTTAAGGCTTTATTCGTTAGCTGGCTTCCACCATCTGCTCGGGGTCAATATCGAATGTAGTGCGCTTGCAATATTTTTCGATTTGCCGGCGCCGACTTCCCAAATTATAATGACTTTTCCAGTCTCGTGATCCCTCGACCGTGCTCGAGCCAAGCGCCACGATGCGGAGGGCTTGCGTAATGCCAGGCAAAGACAGGTTTGTCTCCTGTTGCTCAATATAATTGTTGGCCTATAGGATTGCCGCACTCGTGGCAGATAGGGATATCCATCATTCGGTCTCCAGTTTCTAGTAATCTTCCGGGATTTTCAGAATTCGGTTTCAAATTCGAATTATAGTCTATTGAACGTTTCTGAGTTGACCGGTGGACATATTTTTATTTTCTAAATTGTATATGTATTTTTCAGTGCTCGACGACAGGATAGTTTTCGCTCGGGACTGCAAGAAGACGACAGAAGGTGTGCACTCGTTTCACTACTTTCTCCTAGTCGAAGATTATGGCCCGGTGGATAGCGATACTATTTGTTTCCCGTCACTGGGGGGGCTTTGCTCGGCCTGGCCCGCTTTTAGGCTTCTGTAAGGCTTCTCATGTGAGCCATGCCCGCTTTTGAGGAATTCTTTTTAGTGGCGATTGCGGTTACATCAACTCGCGTTTTGTCTAGTGTTTTCATGGGTTTTTTCTAGTGATGCGGTCTTCTGCATCCAGTTTACGCATCCTACCTGGAACTACCTACCTAAAATTGCTGAGTCGTTCGTTGATTGGTTGATTCCGCCCCCTTCGGCCTCCCCAGAGCCTTCATTTTAGGCGGCTGGCGGCGACATCCCAACTACCAATTTTTGCCTTTTGACGCTCAGATCCCGCCGAATCGCCCGGCCTTTTAGCCGCGTTGAATTGCGTCGAGCTTTTGGCATTGGTGTTTAGATTAGCTCGAAAGGCTGTGTCGGTTAGCCTTAGCATTAAGAAATAATAAGTTGTTTTGGGGGCGGGGGGGAATTTAGTGGTTTTTTTAGTGGGAGATCTCACTTGCCCGGGCTTCTGAAATGGTTAACCCGGCCTCTGAACGGGGGGAAACTGAACTTTTTTTGGCCCAAGCTTAGATTTTTTATATAAGAGTGGAAGTGTTTCTAAATTGTTTATAGCTATTCCCCCCGGGAATACACAAGAACCCGATTAACTAGTTTTCTATCGCCAAATATCTATTCTTTTCAGGCAAGAGGCGATGATGCTGCCGAGCTGAAGTCATGGTCAGCCGGCAGCGGAGCGACGAGGCCAAGTTGAAGATCCGAAAAGCGAGGTCGACAATCTACACAAGTGTTTTCACAGCGAGGTAGCTTACAGGGAGTGGTTTTCATTATGTCGTTTTGCAGGGACGGGCGCTCGTTCTGGGGCCGCCGTGCCGGCATTATGCTGTCGTTGGATGGTACGTTTCCTCTAAACTAATTTGGACCGGGAGGGGGGATGTTTGCTCCTGCTGCGCATCCTTTATTTTAGGCTACATTAAAACATTACAATGTTGTTTTGACTTGACTTTTGAGTAGTCTATTACGATTAACTAGTTTTTTATCGCCAAATATCTATTCTTTTCAGGCAAGAGGCGATGATGCTGCCGAGCTGAAGTCATGGTCAGCCGGCAGCGGAGCGACGACGTATGACGACCGCTACAAAGTACCTGTCAAGCGTCACCTGAAGAAGGCTTGATCTGAGAAAGGTAATTTCCCGATATTTTTGCGGGAGGTTTTGGGAATCCAGGATCTCTATCGCATAGATGTGAGTAGGATGGGGGGGGCTTCATCTTCTTGTGGCTGACATCTACTTCCATTGATGCGTCAATCCAGCTATAACCTGAAGGGGCAAATGGGCAGAATGATAGCTGATCGATGACACTTACGTTGACGATAGGCGTCGCGCCGCCTGGCGCAAAACTGAAAAGGCCTTTTAAATCAGGAAGCGATTATTAATATTATTATTGGTGCACGGCGATGTGATATCAACTTTTTACCGCAGCAACTTGCGGTGTAATAACAACCGCAACAAGGCATTAACGGGGGGGGGAGAAGCGAGCAACATGAAGCCGAAGATGAGATCTGCACGAGTCGCGGACAGCCAAAGCAGCAAGTCTCTGAAAGGTCGACTTTAAATGTTTCTTTTCGTAATTTGTGCGATGGATCAATGAAATAAAGCCTTACATCATGAATAACTGTTTTATATTTACGCAGATGTTTTCTCTCTAGGGTGTAGAAGGATACGAACGAGAAGTAGCGGCGGCAACACGTCAATTCGGCTCGTCATAGCGCATTAAACGTAGATAATAGTCGTCGACTTTGTATGGATCTTCTGCATCAGCAACGCGATTCTCCTTTTTTTGGGCGTTATTGAGAATTTGAGCAATAATCTGGAGACAATCTTATTAAAACATAATTTTTACTTCCACAGAAAAGGGCATTAAAAAGCCGCTGCGTTACCTGTCCGTTGACTTTTGTTGCTGCACGGCTTCTTCACTTTATAGACATACACTTCTTCAACAGCGACTCAAAAGAAAGAAAAATTAACCGGGTTGTAAAAGGGATACAAACTATTGGGTTGGAACGTAAATCTCTGCGCTTTTTTCAAAGCCTGCTGCTGGTCTTATTCGTAGACTTTGGAGCAAGTGTTATATATCATTCGAAAGAGCTTTCTTTTCTCTATCAGACACTGGCATTAGTTTATTTTCTACGTTCACATTGCTCGAAATTACTGGGTTAGAATGAAAATCGTCGCTTTCCTTTGAGCGCGATTTTGAGCACGATCGCTCATTATTTTTACAGTTGTCCTATTGCACTTCGGAAAGTTTTTATTCCTCTTCCTTTTCATGTAATTAGTTTATTTTTAAATAGCCTTTCACTAATTTTCAACAGATCGAAAAATCTACCAAGATGCTCCCTTCCTTCACTTGCTAATTTCTGCGTTAAAAACAATTATTTAGCACATCCCAAGCTTGTGCTCGACTTTTCTGCCTATTTAGAAGAAACTACAACGTTCAGAATCAAACCGAGACGTCTTGAAATCTTCATGGAAAAACATCAACCATGGAGAACTACTGTCTGGTGCGATAATTTGAGCCCGGGTTTAGCGTAGACAAATCCATAAACCTGTTAATTTTTGGCAGCAAGCTGTAGGCCTACCGGGTAAGTACGTAATAGATCAAATTTGATTTAATACTTATGGTACGGAAAAATTTTGCATGGTGCGGTCGTCGAGCCTTCGAGGGTCATTTTCGTCGCTACTTCGTTCCCCGAAATTCATGCGAAAGTAACGCCTATAAAATGAGCGGCTATTGGAGCCTTGTAGTGCAAGAAATGCTCTTTCTAATGGTATATAGGACACAGCAAAAAAAGTTCGTACTTCCGCGCGAAAATTGACCTCGAAAATACGCAGAGTCTTACGTTCCAACCCAATATCTTTTTTCATGCGAACGATTATCTACGCCACCCTATACTCCTGCTGCCTATTGATTAGGGTTCCTGGCATGGCGGCATAGAATAAAAAGGCGTTTTTGCTGTTCTTTTGACTCAAAATTGCGTTTAGGTTAGGGAAGGAGCTTATGCTTAGGCTCAGGCTAGCATTAGTGCAGCAAAACGCAGATAAGATCTAGCAATACCGCCCCATCGTCGATAGGGTGTATACGTTGGAAACAGTATACGCATGCCCCTGAATCAAAGGAAATGTTGAATATATTACTCGGTTCGTAAAGCGCCCGGGGGTGCGCCCCAAATTGCGCCCAGGGGCGCGCTCACAGGCGCGCCCGCGGGCGCAATCAGGCAAAGCGCCCGAGGGCGCGCCCGAAATCCGAAAGCGCCCGCGGGCGCGCCCCAATCGCGTTGTAACGGCTTATAACGGGTTCTTTAATGCTTTTATTATTTTAAAAAGGGCACTTCATCGCTTTGGACGATGCTGTACCCTATACTTAATGTAGATCTTCATCTGGCCTGAGAACATGTTCGTACGGCGCACCTGAAATAGCTTTTTTCGTTTTCTTGGCTTTAGCTTCATTTAGAACTTACATATACAGGGTGTCCCAAAAAATCGACCCCCCTCTAGCGGACCGCAGAAAGCTCGGATCGGAATGATTTTCACACCATTCGAAAGCCCTTCAAACGGTGAGAAAACAAGCGCCTTTGGTTTTCCAAAAAATTTTAGCCTTCGCTCGATATTCAATGATTTCTGTAAAAAGCGTAAAACCAGCATCGTCCTGTTTGCTTTAGCAAGCAATTAACATGCCGATTTTCCATAAAATCTGCAGTTTTCATCGATTTTGGCCCTAAATTTAATGAATTAAAATTCCCATATTGAAAAACGAAAAGTGCTTGTTTTCTCGCCTTTTCGAGTGCTTTCGATAGATACCTAAATCGTCAAAATCGGACATGACTGCGGCCCGCTAGAGGGGGGTCGATTTTTTTTGGGACACCCTGTACGTTCGAATGCGCGATGGGCGGCTCCTAAAAGTGTAGCTAATTAACTAATTTCCTTTGTAAACTTCGTAAGCTGCACTTACTTTGTTTCCGCTTCCTGAAAACTTACTTTAACTTCCTTATTGCCGACTTACGTAGAAACTCCGCTCAAAGATACGGGAAACGTTGCGCTTCGCATTTGCAATGATGTCCATGATCGTCTAAAAGGTTGGCTTATATAAATCGAGAACCTATAAATCTGAATTTAAAACTTCGAAGATTTTTATAGTTTCGAAGGCATCTGCTGCGTAGGAGAACTTTACCTGCATTACCTGTACCATGGCGATTCAAAGTGTCGTTATCTACATTCGACGACCATAACCAAGCAAATCTAGTAACGTTTGTGCTAATTTATATATTTTAAGCATAAATAAGTGCATAATTCAGGAACTTAGGCGTTTTTTCGCAGAATTGAAAGGTGTTCACCATTCAAATGCGCCCGCGGGCGCGCCGCCAATTGCGCCCATGGGCGCTTTTTGCGCCCGGGGCGGTGTTGCGCCCTTTTGCACAAATTGCGCCCTAGGTGCAAAATGGCCCAGTTCGGGCGCGCCCGCGGGCGCTTTGGGTTTTTGGGCGCGCTCGCGGGCGCTTTGCTAACCGAGTAGGCTAAGATTGAAATAAATCATGTTGTTGAGGGAATTGGTTACTCCAATATGGAATTGGGCTCAAGAAAGTAAAATAATTGGCCGATTTCGACCCTTGTCCAAGACAGGCAATTTACACTAGGGTCGGGTCATCCTGAGTTGGAATCCCTAGCGAAAGAAATTAAATAAATATTGATAGAAAAGTTTTGTTAAATGAAAAAGTAAAGGTTTATGAAGAACGTGCGTGCGTGAACGTGCGCTTTAAGTTTTGCTCTGTGGTTCTAGGTGGTTATGAGCTGTTTGACCTCCTAAAAACGTTGTAATTTCTCAAAAACCGCAAAAACATTTAGCTTTTGCTTGAATACCACCCCTTCTCTGCAGAGTGGTTAGCGGTTAGCGCCGATCCCAAATTCCGAACAGAGGGTCCGGGTTCGACTCCTGACGGCGCTATGTGCTCGCGCTTTTGCCCCCAAACCTTTGCGAATCCATACGAATAACTTTTCAAATTTTCGAAAATACATATTTATTTGAATTAATAGTTAGTAGAGCTCGGTGGTCTATCACTATAACAATTCAAGCATTCTTTTTGTTTTTCGCTTTACGGGAAATACTTTCGTTTTCAGAATGGACTGGATGGGCCGGATCGAGAAATTCCTGAAGAAAGGGATGTGAGTTTCTTATCATTGCACTATTTTTGCCCTCAACTGTGGTCGATTTCTCTTTTAGATTATCCCTCTGGAAGGAGTCGCTCATTTTTGTCATTCTCTGGTGGGTAAGCTGGGCCCTTTCCAAATCCGTCGACTCGCGCTTCGCATCCCCAGAAGATCAAGAAAGACTGGTTCAAATCGGCGATGTACTGTGGATGTTGGTGATTGCATTGCTGGTGCTCCTCGTCCTCGTTTATATATGTGCGTGTCTCCTAATGGATGCCCAGGTACATATTTTCTGAGTAGACGGTGCGGTTGTTTTGCGCAAAACATTCTTTTTTTGCCGATTGTAGGCATCCATAAAAAAGGATGCAACAAAAACCATAGTAGCGCGCTTTTCAAGCCTGCAAGCCAAGAAGGTTGCTCGTCTAAAATTTTTTCTTACTTCTTTATGTATGTCTGGCCGATTTTAATAAAGGAGTTTTCCTAGTGATCAGACTTCAATAAGTAGAAAAAGCCGTTTAGGCCTACGATCTGCCGACCGATCATCCTCACCACACGAGGCGAAACCAAGTCTTGTTCGACAGCACAAGTATGTTTTTCCAGCCCTTTATCGCTTCTCACGTCCCGGTTTACTGAGATTTTAGACGAGCAAATCCAACTCCTGGGTTACGATCAGGAAGAGCCTTGGAGCAGAAGGAGCACATCATTGGTGAGCATTCTTGGTACCAATTCTAATTTATCTTTTTCAGGCAGGGCCGTCGTCGATGCCACCAACCCGCAATTCAGCTGCCCGAGAATGTGCCGCTGCCTCTACGTCGCTGAACACCAGGACATTGCCCACCTTTCCCTCGCGGACGCGGAAGTTGGTGCTAACGGTACGTTGCCGCCAGTCGCCCGAATTTGCTAGAATAGTTCCCAGATTCATCATGTTGAAATTCAGAATTTTTGGCATAGGATTTGGGGGGTTGTCCGGGAAAATGAGCTTATGTAAATTTCGATCTTCTGAAATTTCAACATTATGAAATTTCGAAATTTTGAAAGATTCAGCCGCGACGCGTTCAAAGAAAACGGGTGCTGGTGCGTTAGCGGGGGGACACTTTTTGTCGTTGATAAGAATTAGTCGTTTAGGTCCAGTACGAGCACGAGAACGGGGCGCCGTTGCTGAACAAGGCGGGCGAGCCGATGCGCCACATGATCGCGCTCGACCGGGACACTCGAATCGATGCGCTGGCCGAGCACGAAAAGGTCAAGGAGGTCGTGACGGCGGCCGGCGGATACAGTTGGCATCATCGGGACGGCGAATGCGATGGGGAATTGTCGCTGGAGCAGGTGGGGAACTGTTTATTTAGATTTCTCTCTCTCTCTCTCTCTCTCTCTCTCTCTTCGTCATTTCGTTTCTTTCAGCTCGAGGGCCACGAGAATGCGATGAAGTTGAAGTGCCGGCTGGCGGCGATGTCGATCGAGGCGTGGTATCGAAGAAGGGCCCGGGCAACGCATGAAGACGTCGAAACATTGCTGCAATCTATCCGAATGACGGGACGATCTGAAGGAGGCAAGGGAATCGCACTGAATAGTCAGGTAATTCTCGATTTTTTAGTCAATTCTGGATTTTTTTGGTATACCGACCGTTATCTCAGTTCTTTAGTATTGAAAAAATATCGAAATTTTCGCTAATAAATTAAGATTTGCTAGCAATTTATAGGAACTATTTTTGTAGGACATTTAGCCTGGATCAGCTATAAAAAATTTGAGAAAAGCCAACTAAGTGTTTTACCAACCAAAAACGACAGCATTTGGCCTTAATTGAGATTTTTACGCTTGCCTATTTACATGACAAATTTTAGGAAAATGAATTTTAGTAAAACTGACTTTAAGGAAAAATAATGATATGCCAGCCAGAGGCCTTTTGGGGTGGAGAACACCTTTTAAAACACCAATTTCCAGATGCTCTTCCACATCGACGGGGCATTACGTGAATTCTCTCTCGGCTGCCCGGCCTATTCACTGCCAAATGCCATCTCGTTGCGCGGGGCCGGGCTGATTGACGCGGCGGCAGAACGGCGACGAGAAGCCGACGGCGGTGGCGACAACCAAGATGTGACGACGTTCGAAAAGTGGCTGGACAGATTGGTGACTACCCGGGAACTACGACTGTCCGCCTGTCGAATCGATGACGTTCATCTCGAGCTGATGGCTACGGTATGGGGGATTTGGGCATTTCTCGGTTCTAGCCTCATAGCGGGGGGGGCAAATTTTGACAAAAGGAAGCGGCACCCTACGCTAGACTAGTAATAAATACTAGAATAGCGCCCACGCGAAGGCTTGCCACCCGCATCCCTTGTTGGGATAAGACCTGAACCAATAGAAGACGCGCGAACGGCTAATCAGCGGTAGTGTAATGCATTTGTCTGGATAAGGGACACTCTCGTGGAATAAGAGTTTATTAATATACGAAGAATACCGGAGAACATGTAATATAAGTCGGGGAATGGTCTGGGAATAAGGGGAATGCGCTAGATCTGGACAGGTTGGAGAAATACACTCTGGAATAGGAGCTCGCCGGGGTCACCGGTATCGGGGATGCAGGACACATCACACCAACACCAATTCGCCCTACCAGTCATAGAAATGACCGGCAGCAATTCTCCCAGGAAGGGAGAAATTGCAGCGACTGGGGGAAAAATGCCCCTTTTCCCGGGCCGAGAGCGGCCGCCATACGGTGGCCCGCATGGGGGCGCGCTCCGGGACCCAGGGAGAATTTGGCCGCCCGCCAAGTCCGCCTAATTAAACCCTCGTAAGTCCTGTAGAATCGTAAGATTTCTACAGAACTTTCGACACTCCCGCCCGGCCGAGGCCAAGGCGAAAGTGCGTGCGTGTCTGGGTGGTGGCTTAGGGTTTCACGCTTCTGGAGTGATCTCAGATAGACCAGAGTATTTCGCGTTCCACCTTCTGCCTACTGAACACCGGAAACTGCGGGTCTGCTTGGGGTGGAGAACTAGTGTAGTTCTGCAGTTTCCGGGTCAGTCTAGGGGCCGCACGAGGTTATAGGACAAGACTAGGAGGGCGAGTGGGACCTCCGCCCACAGCAAAAGAAAAAAGACTCCTAAACCCAGAGTGGTACACAGATAGTGGAGGGGCGAACTAGCGCAAACCAAGGGGTAGTGGACCGACTGGGTATTACAAGGATCTCGGTATGGGGACGGGAGGGCCAAAAAAATCAGGTTAGACTCCTAGGGGGTGGGGCTCAATAGGGACAAGAGAAAAACAGGGGGGAAGCTGAACGGCGCTAAGGAGCCCGTACTCCTGCCGAACAACTGGGGACTCACATTTATGGCTTTGGCTGCTTGACTGTTGGTGAACTTGTTGAGCTTGACTTGGCCGGCGGAAGGCGCGGAACGAAGTGGAGCAGCAACAGGCTTGACAGCGGCGGCCAACGGCAGTGATGAACCGATCTGCTTAGTGTGGAGACAGGGACTGCTTAGGGCTAAGAATAAAGAAATGCTTTTGAGCCCACAAAAGCATCCCTATTCTGAGCTGGGCGTGTAATCGCTATCCAGAGGAACGAAAACTAAAGATTCCTCTGGAAATCACAAAGACACTCTAAAAATTTAGACTGGCCTGGTGGCGGGGGACTAGGTGGAGAAAGAATCTACCACGAAGCCCTCCTAGTTATCTGCTTGATATACCTACAGAATCTGGACGGCGGTAAGAGGACCTGTGATAGACGGAGACCGTCTTTTGCTAAGTCTGGGCCGTGAGGCTGGAACTGCTCCGCCAACTTCAAGAATTCATAAGCTCGAAAGCTAGAACTCCATACTCGGCATCGCAATCTTGCTGACGATCTGGTCTATCCTCGTAATGTACTCACACTGCACAGTTGTGGCATAAAGCGCGCACAACTGAGCAGACTGTGTGCCATCCATTTCTGGGATAAGAAAGAAAAAATCTGCTTTGTCCAAGTGGACGTCTTGAAGTTGATCTGGAATCAATGGTAAATGCTCTGCAAGCTAGCCGTACTCTTGGAACATACTCCCAATGGAGCAGAGGTCCAAAGTTCCGGTTCGCCCTGGCGCGCATTTGAACCGAGAGATTCTGTCTTCTTCTCGACAATCGTATCCACTATGCCAGAAGATCTGGTAAAGTAGAACTGTCTATATAGGCACCCTGAAGCTATGTCAGCGACAGAGACGAAAATTAGCCGAAGCTACTGCTTTGTAGAACGATAAAGGCCCTGGTTCCGATCAATTTGATCGTTGCCTAGCTAAGTTGCTTCGGCAAACCACAGACGTTGTTGTCTGAACTGTGGGCATCGGCCCGCAAAAGAAAAAAATCTGCTTGTCGAATGAATTGACGGGCCCCAGCGCCAAAGAAAATTTCTGAGGCCGGGTGTCTATCCATTCGACCACCGAGCAACAAGTTGCCCGAGTTCTGATATGCGGCTTCCCCGAACAAAGTTCGAGTCAGCCTATGAATATTCACTTCTTGTTCCAGATGACGTCTATTTAAGAGCGCCTCTTTGGAACTGAAGAGAAGGCCTGCGTATAAGATTCTACTCACAAAGTCTGACCGCCAAGATCGGAATCTCTTTGGGCAAACTAGTGAGTTGCCTGAGTAAAATACTGCAGGGCTTTCTGCTTTGGAAGGGAATACAACCACCAATGATACTGGAAGGCAAGCTTGCAGCACAACTGGTGGTCTGATTAGAAGATGGAGTCAAGTCGCACACACCTTACGATGGGCGACTTGAGAAAAATAAGCTCAACCTTGCGGCTTTGCTCATTTCCTGCTCTAGGGGAAGGGAATCTGGAATTCGGCCTGAACCGAGCGAAAGAGGAGAAAGAGTCTGCTTTCTCAACTCGGTGCCACAAGGTAGCAACCGAGAATCAGGTCTGGATATCGCTGACGTTTCTTCTGAATGGCCCTTATGCCGCTCCTCTTCTGCCTGATCACATCCTATCACGGCCTTCTTGTGGGCCATGAAGCGGCTTCTGAGGCGGCTGCGTGGTCGTTGACATAGTCAACTGATAGGAAGAAGGCCTGCGATTGTTGTTGCTCCTTCTCTCTGAGTTCGGTTTTAGTCCGAAAAAAAATCCAGTTCTGAGCTCGATGGGTTGAAAGCCCAACGAGAAATTTACACTTGTAAGATCCCGTCTTCCAGGGCAGGGCAAAACATTTATGCACCGTTCCTGAATCCGAGGATCTGACAAGGCAAATCGTGTCTGGTCGGAAAAAAATAAAAAAAGTCTGGATTCGGACCGAGCTCCGATTGGAAACTACCTCCACCGGGTAACACAGTAGTGCATGCTTCCGGTATGAGAAGCTCCTCCTGGAACTCAATCGTCGTGAGAAAAGCTAGGGGAATCTGCACTGGATTGGGATCAACTGGGCCTGACCTAAGCTAAGACTTGGCTTGGCTGGCTCTGAAACTGGCTTCGCCAAGATTGCTTGATCAGCCCGCAATCGATAAGATCTGGATTCGGGAAGTCCCTTGCTTCAGTTCCAGTCGCAAATACTGAGCAGTGCAAGGATATTCGGACGTCTGCCCGCTACACTGTGTCCCGCACATCGACCGTTAATGGCGTGCCATCCTAATGTCAACCATACAAGAGTGCACAGATGACAATAGGTGGCCGCCATATTGTGACTAGGTCACGCCGATGTGGGTATCACAAGTGATATCCATGAGCTACCGTTCTTTGCAACAAGAAATAATGCAAAGAACTCGATTCCCGGAAGGGAAAAGTCTGCTTAATCTCATACGAGATTTCCCGAAGGAGGCCTGCTTGAATTCCAACGCGAATTGGAATTCGAAAGTCTGCTTACACAAAGAATCCCGTGAAGGATAAGCTCTGTGCTTTTGGTAAACACCGAAGTGATCTGCTCTCGGTCTTCTTGAAGACTGACAATTGATTGCTCAACGCCAGCCTTTGTCTGCTTAATCTGAAGGAAGTTCGACAAGACAAACTTTGGTTCGCAATGAACGTACGGGGACGGCGGCGGTGCGCTCACGTCAACCCGAAAGCGCACAAAGCAAACAAAGTTGACTTATCTTACTTCGCTTCAGATGCTTCATCGACTTGGTAGGGCTTGACTGATGCTCTTCGAGACCATGAAGTATCCGTACGCATCGTCTTGCATCGGGTTGTCGTCCGTGCTTCACGCGGGCCACTTGGCCCGCGTGAAGGCCCAAGGCCCGCGTGAAGCATGGAAGACAACAGCCTGATCTGGGGGAAAGCAAAGGCCTGGATGGTGCAAGCACCAAAGAAGTTCTGGGCTGAGCAAGAACTCAAAAAAATCTGGATTGAGTAAGAACTCAAAACCTAAAAGGATCTGGGTTGTGCTAGAAACTAGCAGCCAAAGAATCTGCTTGTGCTAGTAGACTAGCGGCAAAAGAAAAGAAAGATCTATGCGCAGTAAGAGTGGATCGTTTTGTATTCGCGCAGATACACTGGGTGTGTACCCAATATACCAACACGAGCTGAGCGCCCGTAGTGTAGTCCGAAGAATTCGAAAACCTGCTCGTGGTGGCATGGAGCCAAGTGCCATAAGGCAACACCCAACGAACAAGGCATCGAAAACTACAGACTACGCCACGAGATGTCTGCCTTTAGCGCCGAAGCGTAAGACAGATCCACTCAAAATACAAAACAATCCAACTTACTTGCCATCGATCTCCTCGTCCTTGTTTTTGAGACGAGCTTCCTGGAATGGGCGACGAGTTGATGCCGCGGCGTCGATCCCGAGCGGAGCGCTGCTGGCAGTAGATGGAGTCGTCGCTTGAAGATGGCGAAAGATGCGATGAGGCACTGCGACGGATAGACAGTGCAGCCTATCCACCGAATCAAAAGAATGATCCGGCGTTAGCTGGTACTGAATCCATCTGCGCGTCAACATACGTATCTCTGGGTTATGTGCGTAAGCACTTTTCGAAAGGCAATGCAAAAGAAAGTTTCTGCTTCGTGTGCGAATAGCACAAAAGAAAGGCAAAAGTTCTGGTTAGCGCGAATGCGCGAGACGGTCTGCTTTTATCTTCATTGACTGCTGCACTTGTTGCGGGCGCTCTGCTTGTTCCTTCGTCCCTCTCTCAGTCGGCCGCAGGTGTACGGGCTGCAATCGACCTCGAACCGGAACGCTGAAAAACACTTGAGCGCACCGCTGGTATATCTGAAAGAAGATAAAAGTTCTGGTGTATGTGCCGAAAGGCACAAAAGAAAAAATTTCTGCTTTGTGCGAATAGCACAGAAGAAAAAGGTTCTGCTTGAGGTGCGGAAAGCACAAAAGCCTGCTGTGGTGCGAGAAGCACAAGAAGAGATTCTGCTTTTAGGCAAATGCCCAATAAAAAGTCTGGACTGGGGCTAGCAAGCTAGCGGCAAAAGAATAGAAAAAGGAATCGCGAAATGAAAAGACAGTTTGCCTTGTATTCGCGCAGCATCATTGGCAAATACCAAATCTGCTTACGCGATGTGAGAGCCCGAAGTAAAGTCTGCAGAATTCGAGATTCAATCCGCGGCAGCACAGAGTGCCTTGGTCATAGACCTGGCCAGGCGGAAAGAAAATGAATTCGCAAACTCTACAGCGAACTATCTGCCCTTAGCGCCGAAGCGTAGGGCAGAATGCTCACAACAAAGCAAAACTGACTTACATATCGTATCCTCCTCGTCCAGTTTGAAGACGAGTAGCTGCTCCAGTCGGCGAGGCACACGACAGCGTACGTCCCATGATCAGCGAGAGCGCGGCTGCGTGTAGAGGCACCTCGGCGAGCGAACATCGAAAAGTTGACGGCACATCGGGCGGCACTTCACCGCATCGACTCGAGCAGCTCTGCTTTTGGTGTGCCAAAACACTTTTTAGAAAGAGAGGGCAAAAGAAAATCTGATTTGTGTGCAAACTGCACTTTTTAAAGAAAAAATTGCAAAAGAAAAGTCTGGTTGGCGTGCAATTCGCACTTTTTGTTCAAGAATTAACGATAGAAAACTTTCTGCTTTGAGGGAAACGAAAAGTTTCGCTGAATTGTATCTGCTTGGCCAAGCTGGCGGCATTGTGTAAGCACAAAAACCTATTTGCCTGGGTTTAGCGTCGACAATCAGCTAAAAACTCTGCTTTGCACGTAAAAACGCGCTGAAAAACAAAACCGAAGTTTTGATCTGGATGGCTTTGAAGTAACTCCAAAGCAAAAAAGTCTGATTCGAAGAAAAAACTTCATAAGAGAGGGTCTGGATGGGAAAATTCCCAGGGGAAAAGGAAATTCTGCTTCGAAAGGCAGCTGGCAATGAATAAATTCACTGCCAACCTGCAGAGCGGACGCTGCTGCAATACTCTACGTTGCCGTAAAGCATGCTGCACAACGCCGACCTGCACTGCCCTTCTTCTCGGCGTCGACTTCGTCGATGTCCCTGCTGCAGTTGATCAGACCGCTGCTTGGCACGAGCTGAAGCGCGCGGCCGCTGAAGAGAGGCAATCTGCTGCAATCTAAAAGAAAAATTAAAGTTTTGGCTCGATAAACGAGCGCAAAACCTCTGCTTCGGGTTTTGGCTGATCGGGCGGCTAATTGCATTGGAACAGCAATCTGCCAGCGCCCAATATGCCGGTTGCGAGCGTGCGCTAGGCGAGCTCGACTTGAAATCTGCTTTGAAAGGGAAACAATTGCTCAAAAAAGAGCAATTCTGCTTTGGGGTGATGGAGAAAAGCCTGAATTCGCTTAAAGGATTTGTATGAGGACCGTTATTTTAGAATTTTGAAAAGAAATTTTGAATTTTGAGCTAACTGGGATGTTTGCGAAACGAATCGTACATCACCAGCTAGTTTTTGAAAGCGAAATTTAGACTAAAACAAAGAAACAAAAGGGAAACTAAAGGAAAAAACGGTCCAACATACAAATTACCTTTTTGCGAGTCCTCCAGCCTGCTTGTCCGGCGTCAGTGCGGGCATCACAGCTTCTGGGCTGGCGATTCGACCAGCTTCTCGGCAGCTCCAGCGTCCCTTCCTCCTCCAACTTGTCCCATAACGTCCGGCCGGTCGGTCATGACGACTGCTGTCGAAGAAGACGGGCTTGAGACTGCTTTGATTGAAGAAAAATCAAGTTTTTGGCTTTAAAAAAGCCCAAAAACTTCTGCTTTTTTCTAAAAAAGTCTGAAAGGTGGCAAAACCTGGGCTAAAAGCCCCGAGCAATAAGCTCGCACTCACAAGTGAGTGTTTTCTGACTTGTGGCAACGAATGCCGGGATATTTCTCCCATTTCTGGAAGAAAATCCTGAGCGATCTCGAAGAGAAAGCTCAAATCTGGGTTGTTTTGGGTTTCCCCAGCTGGAAGCAACTCTGGAACACACAACAAAAGTTGTGAGTGGAGAAGAAAAGAGAGATAGAGACTTTCTGGGCAAAGAATCGACGATTTTTAGGCCGGGCGCCGGGGAAAAAGTGGCATGAGGCCACGATCCCGCGGTCGGCGCTGTCCATCAGGCTACGGGGACACCGCGCAAAACCTGTGAAAAAGTCGAATTCTAGGCCAAAAAGGTAGAGAAAAGTGGAAAAAGGAAAACAAAACGTGGGAAAACGTTTTGCACGAGAAATCTATCTGCTTTTGCGGGAGATATTGCTTCCGCGGTGGCATAAATGCCGAAAAGTCTGCGTTGGGTGAGAAAAAGTTTGCGATAAATCGCAAAGGAACAACGAAAACACAACCACTAGGCTTTCTCAAGGCCTAGGGCATGAATTCGTCTCTTCATTGTCCTTTTCTGCTTCAAGTGTAGCATTTCTGGGCTAGTCTTCGACGAATGTGCACTGTCATCGAGGAGCCGGCCTGCAAATGCTGTCTTGGGCAGCGAGGAGCGCGATATCTGCCTTCTTGGGTCGTTGCCGCGGCCTTGTAAACCTAAAAAAAAAGTTTAATCTGGTTCTGGACGACTGATGAAGGAGGTCTGCTTCCTACGAACCGAAGTTCGGTGCCTGGGCAAGCTCGAAAACACAAAGTGCTTCCTTTTTTACGTTTAGCGCAGAGCTAAAACGCGTTTTCTGCTTAGTCTTCGACCTTCCCATGTCGTCTGACTTGTTAGCTGCTTACAGACCACTTTTTATGTCTGCAGTCTTCCGTGGGCCTGGATGAGGTAAAACCTCCTCCTCCTCGCCCCACTGGATCTGAGAAGCTACGGGCAGACACGTGGGGCCAGCTCCCGTTTTTCACGCCGGAATTTCATCGGACGCGCAGCCGAGGGCAGCCCCGTTTATGCCGGAATTTTCTTCGGTCGCTTATCCATGGATGCCGCTCAGTCCAATGGGGAACTAGAGTGGTGAATAACATCTGCTTTTCACAGTGCTAAACTCAGCGCCGGCAATGCCGAACCTGAGAAGGGCGGCAATCAGGGCCATGATTACCCACCGATCACCTCACCCGGGTTTCCGGGGCGCCGCTGTACACACGGCAAAAAGACTGGAGAGGGAAAACCTGGGTCTGCTTATGCACAAAAGTGCTCCGGTACCTTCTGCTTGAAACTTACCCAAAAAAGGGTCTGCTTAAACTTACAAAAGGTCTGGCTTATACAGCAAATGCAGTATTGACCCGGTTGAAACCTGGTAGACGCACCATGACAAAAGGAAGCGGCACCCTACGCTAGACTAGTAATAAATACTAGAATAGCGCCCACGCGAAGGCTTGCCACCCGCATCCCTTGTTGGGATAAGACCTGAACCAATAGAAGACGCGCGAACGGCTAATCAGCGGTAGTGTAATGCATTTGTCTGGATAAGGGACACTCTCGTGGAATAAGAGTTTATTAATATACAAGAAGAATACCGGAGAACATGTAATATAAGTCGGGGAATGGTCTGGGAATAAGGGGAATGCGCTAGATCTGGACAGGTTGGAGAAATACACTCTGGAATAGGAGCTCGCCGGGGTCACCGGTATCGGGGATGCAGGACACATCACACCAACACCAATTCGCCCTACCAGTCATAGAAATGACCGGCAGCAATTCTCCCAGGAAGGGAGAAATTGCAGCGACTGGGGGAAAAATGCCCCTTTTCCCGGGCCGAGAGCGGCCGCCATACGGTGGCCCGCATGGGGGCGCGCTCCGGGACCCAGGGAGAATTTGGCCGCCCGCCAAGTCCGCCTAATTAAACCCTCGTAAGTCCTGTAGAATCGTAAGATTACTACAGAACTTTCGACAAATTTAGAAACGGCCCTAGAACAAAATATAACGTTTTTATGGAGTTTTACATACAGGGCGTCCCAAAAAAAATCCCCCCCCCCTAGCCGGCCGCAGACCTGTCCGATTTTTACGATTTAGGTATCTATCGAAAGCTCTAGGAAAGGCGAGTCCAGCACGTCTCGCCGATTCTCAAAATTTTGAAATTTTTTAGTCATTTACTAATGTTTTTGCGAAACGGGTGGATTTTCGGATGTTTTTCTGACCCAGGGCTTTTTTACAAAAATCACAATTTAAGAATTTTTACGTCTTTCCTGGAAGCCCAACGACCGCTTTTTGAAAGGCATTTACCAAAACACAGCTTGGATAGCGCTTAAACCGGTTAAACTGCGTTTTGGACAAAAAAGCGTGTTCTTTTTGAATGAAAAATGCCGAAAATCGAGCAAAAAATTCCGACATTTCGAAAATCAGAAAGACGTGCTGGACTCGCCTTTCCGAGAGCTTTCAATAGATACCTAAATTTTTTTGGGACACCCGGTAGTTTTTTTGAATAGAAACAGAATCTAAGAATCATAAAAATTTCGGAAATTTTGGACTTTTTTGTCAACAATTTATGAAAAATGGCAAAAAGTAAAATTTTCGAATTTAGAAAATTCAAAAATTTTTCTAACTTTCTAGCTATCAAAAACTACGAAAACACTATAAAAATGCATAAAACAAAAAAATGGTTTTCCCGTCTTGGTAAAAATCCGCACCCCCGCTAACAGTCCAGAGCCCATTTATTAATTTTAGATGGCCGCCAAGAATTCGCACTGGGCCCTCGAGACGCTCTGCCTCGACTTCAACGTGTTCACCGATGGAACGGTGAGGTTTCTTGATTTCGTGTCATCAAGTCTTTAAAAAGCGCGTAATCGATTAGGCGATGAAATTGCAGCTAGCTGGAATATTCAAATTTTCCTGCTGAATCCCTTTTTTCAGCATCTCCGTTCGCTGCTGGCCCACACGCGTGGTCTCCGCCATCTTGACCTCAGCGGTGTGGAGTTGTCGCAGGGGCTGGAAGACGTCTTTGATGCAATCACACGTATGCATTTCTTTTTTTGAATTGTTGTATTGTTTTATTTAGAGCTGGACGATCTGCGGACGTTGGTGTTGTCCGGTTGCCGATGGGTGGACGGGCCGAGGCTGCAGCTGCTCGTCGAACGATGCCCCCAACTTCACACGCTCCACGCGCAGGGGACCGCCGTCGCCGAGCTGTGCATTGATGTTGGTTGTTTTGCGTTTTTAGCGGCTCAAGGGCCTTGTAAAAGTTTCTTAACGGGGGGAGAGAATAACAGGGGTGGACAGAAATTTTGTGTTTCTAAAAGTTAGTCCACCATTTTGCGACCATATTCTGCAACGGCGTTTAATTAATAATTTTAATAAAGTAATAATAATAAGGAAAAATTGTTTCCACCCCCGTTATTTCCCCCCCCCGTTAAGTAACTCCTACACGGGGGCCCTTGGGACAAATTTGGGTGATTTGTGGGGGACGTACGGCCAGCTAGCGGCGATTCTTTGCGGAAATCGAGCGCGGCGAATTCCAGCCAAAATTCCGACAGCCAAAGTATGGTATTGCCGGGCGTTTTCCCCGGAAATGGTTTTAAAAGCTAGGATTTTGGCGTTTTCGGCATTTTATGCGTTTTGAAAATCGCAAATTTGGCCCTGTTGGTCATTTTTGCATGTATTTTTGAGCAAAAGGTGAAATTTTTTCGAGTTTCTAATTTTTTTTGCGCTTTTGATGTCTAAAAACTATCAATAACTCCACGAATAATTTCTTATTTCGTTGTAGGACCGCACGAGAGTACTTGGGAAATCCCCCCGCTAAAAGTCCAGTACCGGCACGGCGTCGAGCAGAGAAAATTGAGGAAAATTGGGGACGTTGCTCGGGTTCAAAAACCGCGGGTGGCAGGCTAGCACGGACAATTTGCGCCTAATCCCCTCATTTTCAGCTGGGAACCGCGCCGTCACTCCGTCTACTCGACATCTCGGCGTGCCGGTTGACGCGCGAGGCCGTCGAATCGACGCTGGAATGGGCCAGCACCTCAGAGGTTCGTCTTTCCGGCGAGGGCTCGATTTTTAGGTTCTGGACCGTTAGCGGGGGGGGGCACCGCTTTTTATTTTCCAAAATCAATTCGTCAAAAATATTTTTATACGGTTTGATAATCTAAAATTTTCGCCTTTTTATCAGTAATTTTTGCATGAGTTTTTGAGCAAAAAATGAAAATTTTTTGAAAGTATGATTTTTTTGAGCTTGTGTGATATCTAAAAACGATCAATTACTCCAAAAATATTTTTTTCGGTTTCGATGTAGGCTCGCACGGGAGTATTTGGGAGGGAATTTGGTCCCCCGCTAAAAGTACAGTACCGATTTGCATTGCTAATGGCCCTAAAACAAAATATGAACGATTTTTACAACATTTTGCATAGTTTTTGGGTATAAAAACATTATAAAAACGTATAAAGTATTTTGTATAACTTTCTAGCAATCAAAAACTGTTAAAAAACATCATAAAAATGCGTAAGCCTGCTAAAACCCCCCCCACCCCCCGCTAACAGTCCAGTTCCATGAAATCCACGGTCTTGCCTTGAATATCCGCTTAAAGAAGCTCGCTTTTTTTCGTATTTTCTATATTTTTTTTTCAGGTGGAAAACGTGAACGTCGGCGTCGGAAGCCCAGTCGGCTTGGCCACGCTGCGAAGGGTCGTCGATGCGAGGCGTGGAATGTGGCCCCGACTTTCGCTGGGACTCGTCGGCTGCTCCTTCTATGATGAGCAGCTACGGGACATTCCTTTGGACGAGGTGTGGTTTTTTTCTATTTAATTCTCTCTCTCTCTCTCTTTATCTCCCTCTCTCTCTATCGCTCTTTATCTCCCTTTCTCTCTCGCTCTCTCTCTCTCTCTCACCTTCTCTCCTTTTTTTTGTCTTGCCCCCATACTGAACTCTCTATTCCAGCTGGGCGACGTGTTCTCGGGACTATGCGACGAGACGGGAGACGACAGCGTCCGCTTCCGCTTATCAACTATGCTGACGAAGCTGATTGCCGACAAGGACGGGTAAGAGTTTTTTGGAAACTGTGTCCGGGATTGTAGTACGTATTTCGGCGAATAAAGTGATCAGTTAGTGGTTTGACTATTTCTAAGAATACCTATCAGAATCTCGGATTTTCGAAATCGCGAATTTTGAGATCTCGAATTTTGCGAATCTCGAAATATGCCGAGGCTGGATTCAGGGCATAGGCGTGCAATTTTCCGAGCCTTTAATCTTGATTTAAACGACGGAAATTCGAGATTCTAAAAATTCGAGATTTTGACAGCTTCCCTATTTTTAAACCATTTCCTTTCAGGGCCGTCGCCAAACAGGTGCTCTGCATGTTGTAATTGACCAATAAGAATTTTACTGTCGTGTGTGATCGGTTTTTGTAATTTATTTGTTTTTGGTAAACTGTCTGTCTACATTGTGATTTTGCTACGGGTGTTGTTCCATTTATCGTTCTTGAGGTGTGTGTTTTTTCGGGTGAAAGTCGTCGAAGAATAAACGTTGCTTTTCAGCCGCTTTCCACCCGGGACCATGGCTCGTTTGCCTGAAAAACAAAACTTATTTTCAGCGCAAATCCAGTGCTTTTTGTTTGCAAATGGGGAGAGTTTTCCGTTGGTCCTTTTGCATTATCAGGGGGGGGGGGATTTATAGTTTAAGGGTAAAGCCACTTTTTTCTTGGAGCGAATTTTTGCAAACATAAATCGCTGAAGAGCTTCTAGGCTAAAAAATACTAAAATTTTTTCGTAAAAATTGTTTCAAAGTTTCTGACGTTTCTCACGGCGCCACGGTATTTGGCCAGCTGAGTGCTGCGGCTTTTGCCTCGGCTGCTTCTGCCTTTGAAGGATTGATAGAGGAACAGTCTCGCTCTCTCTCTCTCTTCTCTCTCTCTCTCTCTCTCTCGCTGTATCTCTCTCCCTCTCTATCGCCCGATCATTAAATTTAATCGCCGACCTGTACGCCCTCGACGGCTATCAGGTCGAAATCCTGCTCCGTGCCCTCGCCGACCATCAAAGGCCCGCGGCGCTGCAGCGCGCCTTTCGCGCCGACCCGGCGGTGGTAAACGAATAATGCGAATGCGCACATTTTTGGCCTTTTGGAAGGAATTTTTGCAGGTCTTTTTCCTCTCGAGCAAGGCGTTCTCACGGAGAACTACGGCGTGTCGATGATCGTCGTCGTGACCAAGGCGGACCTCGTGAATGAGAGGAGCGAGCAGACGATGGACAAGGTGCTGTGCGACGTGCGGCGCTTCTGCCTTCAAAATGGGGCCGCGCTCGTCTACGCGACGACCAAGAATCGGAAGAATACGCAGCTGCTCGCCAAGGTAAGCCGTGGCTTTCCGGTTAAAAAGGCTTCTTTTTCTTTCCGGCTGTCGATTTCGAAAAAAACTGAATCAACTTTTGATCGACAAAAAATTCCTAGGCACTTTTCGACCAGGGCTGGTACCAAAGTTCGAAATACCCCCCATAAAAGTGTCTATACCCCCTGTAAATCATCTATGACCCCCATAGATACCCCCTATAGATCGATTAGACGAAAATTCCGTGGGTTTGAACTTTTTATTCTAAAATGCTTATTCGCCAAGCAAAAAATCCGAAATAAGTTTTTTCGGAGAGAAGAAAGTCTCCTCTATCCGACTAAGCATTGAACGTGCCGCTGGACAGCAAAGCCTTTCGGAAAAACTCGTCGAAACTTTGGCAAAAAATTTATACCCCGTATAAATCTTGTATTACCCCTGTAAGAAATTTTTATGGGGGTCATAAATGGAATTTATGGGGGTTAAAACCGACCTCCAAAACGCGGACGGTTATGGGGGGTAAATCTGGTAAAATTTTAAAAAAACATTAAAAATTATTCAATTTTTCTGGGTTTCGAGCGTCATAGGGTCAAATTAGGTAAGGATGAGGAATAAGTTGACATGGGCGCGGTTACTCGAGTCCACCTAGTTTTTTAGTTATCGAGCCACAAAGATTTGGTCACCCCCATAAATGATTTAAGTCATGTTTCTTTCATATAAATGGTTTTACAGGGGGTATACACGTCGTCCATTGAACTCTCCTTGGTATTTTTCGAACTTTTTTGAGTTTGGCCTTTGTGTCACTAGTTTTCTGGTACAATTAAACGTGCCCGTTCTCAGAGTCTTCATGATATTGTCTCAAGCATGAAAACTTGTAACAGATGCTCAAATTTTCCAATTTTTAAAAAGTGCTTAAATAATGTTTTATGCTTTAAATCAATTTCAATTGTGCTGAAAATAACCATCGCAAATGTTTCAGCACAGTTTCTGGCTCAATCTCGCTCGCAAGGACAAGGGTGCATCTTCCCTGGTGCACCGCCCGCGCCACGGCCCATTTATTGGGGGTATAAAAGGATCTATAGGGGGTATAAATGCATTTTTCCACTGAAAACCTCATTTATAGGGGGTATAGATTGATCTACAGGGGATATATCTGCATTTTTTGGAGTGAAAACCTCATTTATGGGGGGTAAAAACTCAATTATAGGGGTCATAAATATTTTTATGACCCCCCATAAATTTTTCTCATACCCCCTATAAATTTTGGGGTCATAAATCTACTTTGGTACCAGCCCAGAGCGTTTGCGGAAACTTTACCCTTTTATTGCATCAAAATTTATCTCTTTTTCCCGTCAAAAACGTCTGGTTCTTTTACTAAAAACCTTATTAAAATAATTCCTATTACGTTGCTCGGCATTTCTAGACTTTTACAAAAAGTTTTGTTTCCCCCAAAATGCGAATGAGTCAAATGTCTTTTTTTGGAAATCGATTTCCCAGGAAAATTGTGTCGCACAGACGGCTAACTTTCTTTTAGTACATCGTGCACCGTGCCTATGGTCTCCCCTTCACCACTTCGGCCCAGATGATCGACCGAGATACAATCTTCGTGCCGGCCGGCTGGGATAGCGAAAAGAAGATTGAGATCGTTAGAGTCAGTTTATTCTGCGCAACTTTTAATGCCATTTTCCCACTTCCAGTCGAACATCACCGAGATCGACGTGCTCGAGCCGAATCGCGAGAAGGTGAACGTCGTCAAGGAGCCCGAGGTGATCGCCGAGGACACGCAGGTTTGCTCATTTTCATTTCTGGGATTTTACAGTCTTTTTTGCAGGTGTTCCTCGCCCGGTTCGCCGACATGTTGGCCAAGGACTCGGCGACAAATGGGCAAAAGAAGGTGGATGAAGCCGGGGCAACGGCTTCCGATTCTCCGTTGGCCAGCTTCTTCTCAAATCTGCTAAAGGTATGAACCTTATTCCCTTTTTCCAATGGACAAAAACGAGGCGCGGGATCGAGCCCGCATTTTGCCGTCCTGCGTTCAATTTTTGGTTAGAATAAAGACGGTTCGACCCCGCCCCCTCCACCGGCACCTTCACAACTCGCATTTCGTCGTCCGGTATTCCGAAATCGCTCTTTCTCTCGCTTTTTCGTTGTCGATGGCTGCCGCGCGGAAACGCGCAAAAAGAAAGCATGTTGAACGGCTGAATGTTGTGAGGGTGGTGCTCGTCGCGCAAAAATCATTCCCGCGGATCGGCCGATGTCTCGGATTTAATTGCCCCATTTATCGTTTTCGTTTTTCAGGACAAACCACAATCGACGCGGACAGCCGCCCCCGTTTCCGAGGAGCAGCAGCAGGCTCAAATCGAGAAGATTTTCCAGGTAAAACGATTTCTAATTTGCGATAATTTGTCGGGTTGTTTAGAAAAGCGACGAGACGGACAGCGCGGCGTAGGGCAATCGACACGACAAATAAGGGAAAAACAGAAAAAAACGATGTCATAATATAAACCCATTTCCCCGTGTCTGATTTCTATGCGCTTGATTGTGATTAGCAATTTGAAAAAAGCCCCGTCTCTTGTTATTTCTGGTCCTCGTATCCGCGTTGTTTCAGTTCCGTGTCTCCACCTGCTCTCCCCAATTTCAGAAACGTGTATGTCCCGGGCGTGGCTTTTCCCTTTGATGTGCAGAGCTTTGACAGTGCTTCATCCAGTTTTTGCTTGTGCCCCCTAATAATAAACATTTGGCCAGCTGGAAGCCGTAGATTTTTTCCGGGCAACGGTGCCATGGCGGGCACCCGCACGAGAAAACACAATTCCAGCATGGAAGACGTGATCGAAATGGAGAAGGTCTGCCGGGCGGCGTCTCGTTCTAGACGTGACGAGGAGGGGCGCTGTCCGTCGATTTTCGGCTCGTCTCGCTGAAATGAAGCCGTTTGTTGGTGACGCTTCGCGCAACCGATTGCCACCCGCCCTACACAGCTGGAATGCTCGCAGCGTGTCAAAAGGTTGTGGTTCGTTACCGGGGGGGATTTTTTGTCAATAGCTTCTCTTCTTCTTTCTCTGTTCGAGCTTCGCTTAGCTTAGGAGCATTGCGCTTGATCAGACGCGAAAAACTGACCAAGTAGCCTAAAAAATCACCTAAACAAATTTTCCCCCCCCCCCCAAACTTGAATAGTACCAAATCCTTTGTTTTTTTGATGCTCTACTACGTGACGAACTGATGAACAATCTACGAGATCAACCCCCCCTGCTAACGAACCAGAACCCCCAAAAAAGGGACCTGGCCGACCCGAGGGCGGTGAATACGGCGGTGGAAGGAGGCGGGGCACGCGATGCGGTGGAGACGACGGTCTGCGTGCTGCACAGACTCGGGGCCGGCGAAGCGTGCATATTCCGAGCCGGGGCATGCAACGATGATGATGACGAGGATGATGATGATGATGAATGGTAACCACCAGGTAATGGTGGCAATGCATCAAAAACCGGCACAGGCGGAGAAGCAGCGCGGGGAAACCGACCGAGCAACGCCAGCCGGTCGTGCGCCTCGATCGCTTGGAAATCTGAACTTTTCAAATATAAATTGTGTTTTTAAAAAGGCTTTTTCCTATTCCTAAGCGTGAAAAATTCACAAATTTGATTCAAAACTATCAAATATATCCATCTTTCGACCAAAAAAGCCGATTTTAAGCAAAATTTCGACTTTTTGGACCGTTTTTAAAGTTTTTAGATAGTTTTTCTGGTTGAAATCAAGTCATAGATTACTAAAACCGCTATTAAAGTACCTCCTATAAACCTACTAGGCATTTCTGGACCTATCCAAAAAGGTCCGGGTTTTTTCGGCGTTTTTTAGCGTTTTTCTGCCGGAAATATTGTGTTATTTTGCTCAAAAAACGCTACTAACGTACTTTTGACGCAGTTACTAGGCTTTTCTGAGCTCTTAGGAAATCCCCCCCCCTGTTAATGCGAAAGCACCAAATTTTGAGAGAGTGAGGTTTGGCAGGCCGTACTACGTACGCTCGTCGATGCTGTGCCACTGGAAAAGGCAGATCCACACGAGGAATTGGTAGGCGATGATCACCGACACGAAGAGGGCCGTGTTGAAGAACGACCAGAACATGTTCCACAGGCTATCCTCATCGTCGCCATTCTGCCTGCAAACGGATGCGGCGGATTTGTGGCTTTGCAAAGCCAAAAAACGTGCTTTTCTTAGGTGCTTTCGCATTATCGGGGGGGAGCGAAATTTTTTGTGCAAGTCTAGAAATACCCGGTAATTTAATAGAAAGTGTTTTCATAGTTGTTTGAGTAAAATAAAACTACAGAGTGTCCCATAAAAAAAGCACCCCTCCGGCATTTCGCCATATTACATCCGATCGGTCCCAAATTTGGACCAGAGGTGTATCAGACCATAAATAACCACAATCCTGAGTTATAGCCCGCCAGCTACAATAATTTTCGAGATACAGCAAAAATAAACTTTATTATCCGTTTTTCATAAGGTTTTCGTCGGAATCGACCATTCGAATATTAAGTGAAAATGAAGCGGCAAGCGTTCGTTACCCTTAGAAATTTGTTCATGATAAAAATTCATCGAATACCCGTTGATTTCAACAATTTTTGTAACCCAAGGACAAACCCAATATTAAGCAAAATTAGGGATTCGCAGCCGGAAGTCGATGCAAATCGATGCAAAGTCCAAAAAGATAGCCGAAAAAACTGTTAAAAGCCGCATAGAAAACGGTACTTTGGCGATAACTCGAAAATTACTGTAGCGATCGGGCTAAAACTCAGGATTGTGGTTATTTATGGTCTGATGCACCCTTGTACAAAGTATGGGACCGATTGGATGTAAGGCGGCGAAATGCCGGAAGGGTGCTTTTTTTTTGGGACACCCTGTATATTTCGACTAGCAAAACTATCTAAAAACTTTGAAAATGTTCAAAAAGTCGAAATTTTACTAAAAAATCGATCCTTTTCGGTAGGAAAATCGATTTTTTAATGTTTTTTATACAATTTGTAAAATTTTTGCTTGGAAAAAGCTGGTCCCCCGATAATGCTCAAGAACATTGTCCTACTCAAGGTTGTTGGTTCTGGAGAGGACGTATCGGGGTCGCGGCACGTCATCGGCCGTTGATTGTCGCGTGCCGAGCGTGTGGTTCAGCCAGTCGACCAAGGTCTCTACAAATGCGTTGCTATTAAGGGTTTTGAGCTGTTAGCGGGGGAGTACGACGACGGGATGACGTACCCAACGGGCCGTGCTCGAGGTTGATGAGCAGCGTGCTGGCCAGCCCGTATGCCGACTCATCCGGGCCCACCATCCGCGACTTGCTGTTCGTGATGAATCGAAGGCCGTGCACGAAGACGTCTACAACAAAATAGGGGAAAGCTCTCTTTTGGGTTCTGGACCGTTAGCGGGGGGGGGACTAAGGCTGAGCTCCAGACCCCCCCAGCCGACCTGCCGTATCTCCGCTCCCTGTTCATCTACAGATGTGTAAAGTATACCAAAATACTCGCCACAGCAAGACGAACATTTTGGTATACTCTACACAGCTGTAGATGAACAGAGGGCCGAGATTCTAGCCAAAGTTTGTACTGTTTTCTCAAAAATGTATGAAAAAAGGATCCAAAAGGCCAAAATTTTTGAATTTTCAAAATTTTATAAACCATTTTTTGGGCCTTCCCAGCAATTAATAACAAGTAAAAACACTATAAAAATACATCCTTTTCATCAACAGGTGGAAAAACAAAAAATGGTTGTCCCCTGCTAACACTCCCCCCCCCCGCTAACAGTCCAGAACCAGTTGAAGCGGATACCCTCTCTGCCGATGCAATGCTTGAAGCACATCGCGTTCGCGCGCACTAGATCGGCCTCATCGTCGTAGTGGACAATGATGTGCGATGATGTTGATTTCCAGGATGGCCATTCACGATAGATTGTCGTCACATCGTGGCAAAGGTCCCCTACAACATTGGGGTTCTTTTGCATTATCAGGGGGGAGAAAATAACGAATGTTAAAAGCTTCCAAATTTTTGTTAAAAAAACCAAATATTCCATTTTTGCGAGCAAAAATCGTAATTTTTTAGTCAAAATTTCGATGTAACTGTTTGTAAGCTTTTCGATGGTTTTTCTAGTAGAAATATAGTTAGATTTTACGAAAAAAAACACTAATACGGCACCTTCTATGAATTCACTAGGCACTTCTAGACTTACAAAAAAAAATTACGGTAAAACTCCAGATACCCCCCCAGCCGGCACCCAACTTGTGTATCTCGGCTCCCTGTGCATCTACAGGTGTGTAACGTATACCAAAATGTTCGTCTTGCTGTGGCGAGTATTTTGGTATACTTCACACACCTGTAGATGAACAGGAGCCGAGATACGGCAGGTGGGGGTCGGCTGGGGGGGGGTTTCTGGGGTTTAGCCAAAATTACGTCCCCCCCGCTAACAGTCCAGAATCAATTTAGGGTTAATAACTCGAGAAAAGGCGCGGCACTTACCGCGCGAATGATTGGCGGTGCTGAGAAATGGGTGGATGGCGGTGGTGTTGTTGTATGGGGGCCGGGTACACTCGAACTCTGGGCCCAGCTTCATTCGACGGCCTGCAACGCAAACGTTCAGATTTCAGAATTATTAGAGGGCCTGGGCCGACTCAAGCCTACGCCCAAGCCTAAGCCTAAGCCTAAGCCTAACAATTGGGTAATTGACCGAAAACTTGGGTAATCGAATCGGGCACCGCCGTCCTTTCCCACTCGCCCCCCACCTGGCCCACTGTTTCCTCGTACGGAAATTTCGGTGTAATCGTCGTCTGCGTAATGAATTTTCTATGGAATGAATTTCTGCGTAATGCTTTTCTGTATAATGGTTTTCTGCGTAACGGATTTCCGCGTATTGAAATTTCTGTGTATTGAAATTTCGTTATAATGGGCTTCTGCGTAATGGCTTTCTGCAGAATCAATTTTCGGTATAACGTTACTAAATCGATCCTTTTCATACCTTTTAGCGTGTTGTGGGCCATGGCGACGTGGAGGTAGACGCGATTGTGCTCCGCCTTCACTAGCGCTCCCAGCTGGTTGTACACCGTCAACAACTAAATGAGACATGTCCTATATGATAGGGAGAGACACGCCCACTCGGGGGAACAGGCCCCGGGAGGACCCCTGCGGGGGCCTCCCCACTTCTTGCCCAGTCTTGACCTAGTCTAGGAACGGTACGCTAGCTCTAAGCTTTACCTAGAAAACCCAGAGGAGGGACCGGAGGCCGAAGGGCCGATGGTCCTGAATCTTTTGGATTGACTTTTAGATCTTTATGATCTCTTATTTTAAATTATTGGGCCTGAGTCTCCGTGTTGCCTGGCATCCTTTCCCGGGCTCTTATCTCTTTCCTTAAAAACCCTTTGCACATTTTGCTCTTATGGAATGCTAAATAAACCAAGAAAAACCCCATACCGTAAGC